AGTCAACCATTATTGACAGTTTTTAAAGATGGCCATTTTTGTTAACAGCAGGATGCTCTCGCTGAAATATAAAAAATTGAATCACATCCCAACTTGGATTTTTAGGTCAATCTAAATAATTCTGACCTTAGCAAATTCATGCATAGAGCTTTACTCTTGTTTTAGGTTATTTTCCTAATACAAATTCTCAGAAGTGAAATTGCTAGGTAAAAGAAATTTAAGTCACTTGCCAGATTGTTTCCCAAAAGGATTGTAGCAATTAGAATTCTATCAGTTTTATCAGACCCTTGACATTTGTGGTGTCATGAAGAAAGCTTTCTTAGACAATTTAATAGGCAAAAATACTTTAACTGGGATGTTTTAGACACAAGTGAAGTTTTGATCATTTTATTGTCAGTGAAAAGTACTTCCAAAAAAAAAAAAGGAAATGTAATACTATGAATTCCCTTTAGTATGAAAACAATATCTGAGTACAGATCTTGGTTTCTTTTTTCTTTTTTTAAGATTATTTTATTATTTTTATTAAAAAGTTAGATAGACAGTGGAGGAGAGATGGAGAGAAAGATCTTCTGTCCGATGATTCACTCCCCAAGTGGCTGCAGTGACCTGAGTTGAGCCAATTTGAAGCCAGGAACCTAGAGCCTCTTCTGGGTATTCTGGTGGGTACAGGGTCCCAAGGCTTTGGGCCAACCTCCACTGCTTTCCCAGGCCACAAGTAGGGAGCTGGAGGGGAAGCGGGGGCGCTGGAATTAGAACCAGTGCCCATGTGAGATCCTGGTGCATGCAAGGCAAGAACTTTAGCTGCTAGGCTACTGTGCTGGGCCCAGATCTTGGTTTTTAATCATATTCTCCAATGAAGGGGATGTTTCTGGAGAAATGGCTAGTTCTCAGACTACGGCAGGAACTATTCAAAATGAACCTGCCTGGAGTGTCTTACAATGCCAGAAAATAAAGAAGTGTTCAGAAAGGAAAACATTGGTGGATACATGTCAGAAATGACACAGGAACCAACTGAAAGGCTCCCCAAAGCTCAAGCTGGAATATTTTGAGCAATAAAACAGTAAAACAAGGTTGTGTTATAATCCATTTATACTAGAGTTGACTGATGCATGTATATGATTGGATGAATAAACAAATAAATAAATGGAAAAAATCTCTTAGAGAAGAATTCCTGTTTCAGAATTCAAGGAAAGGGATAGGAAGGCATAAGTAGTCATTCCTTAAATTTATGTTCACTCCAATGAGTACAAGGAAAGAGGGAGATGATCAACCAGTGTGCAGGACAGAAACCTGAGCAGACCTCCCGCACTGACGTGGTGTGCCTCACATCGGCTGTGCTCTCATGTTACTAGGGTGAGGAAGGAGCCACTTTGCCTCTGTGATCTTCTTCTCCAAACCTCAAGCTAACAATGAGAACAGCTTCAAATTCCATTGGAGGCACAGTCTACGGAGCACCTAAATGGTACTGTTCCGAGCTAATCAAGGTCAAAGACAAAATAGGTGGGAAAACTAGAGGAATTGCATCAGCTCAGAGGACCTAAAGAGATATGATAAGTAAATACACTGTGGACAGGATCCTGGAACAGAAATACATGGTCACTAAAAAATAAGAAAATCTGAATAATCTGTGCTCTCTAGCTAATAATAGTGTATCAATATCAATTCATTACCAAGTGTCATCACACTGATATAAGTTGTTAATAACATTCAATAGGCATGGAGAACTTTTCTCACATTTTGTGTAAATCTGAAATGTTCTGAAAAAAAATGACTTAAGCAGAACAAAATAGCATTAACTTATTGAGTAATTGCTCTATCTGGCGGCTGATGGCAGGTTAGATATGTAGCTGATTCCATCTCTGTTCCTTTAGATCTCAACAAATGGCATCTTCTTAAAAATCCTGAGATGTGACATGCTTTTGTGCATAAAAGTATTCTGGGGGAGGGCATGGAGAGAAGATGTGGCATTGTGCATTTGGTGAATTCTAAGCTAGACGTCTTTTTTTTTTAACCTCCATATTATATTGCAGTATGGGCAACGTATTTTGTGCATTTTTTGGAGCTGATATAGGATGCTAAATTTATTTACTTACTTTATTACTTATTTATGTGTTTGTCAGGAAGGGAGAGGGAGTGAAAGAGAGACATTGAGCTCTCATTTTCTGGTTCCTCTTACTCCCAAATGCCCACAGTGGTCAGGGCTGGGCTGGAGCTCAGGCCAGAAGATGGAAACTCCATTCAGGTCTTCTGTTTGGGTGACAGGAACCCGTTACATGAGCATCACGACCTGGATTATGTATATGGGTGGCAGGAGTTCCAGTACTGGAGCCATCACCCACAGCATCACAAGTACATTAGCAGCGAGCCGAATGGGAGCATAGCATCCAGGACTGGAACTGGAACTCTTGTATGGAATGCAATCATCCAAGTGGCACGTTAACCTGCAACACCACAGTACCTGCCATTAACTCAGAATGTTATCATGTATGAAGGAAAACCTGATAAGCCAGTGTGGTAGCATTTAATAGATCAGTGCACAATTTTAATTTTTTTTTTTGGTGAGGTGTTTTTTTTTTTTTTTTTTTATTTGCAAGGCAAAGAGAAAGAGGAGATAGTGAGATCTTCCACCTGCTTGTTCACTGGTTCACTCCCCAAATGGCCACAGCAGCTGGGGCTGGGCCAGGCCACAGCCAGAAGCCTGTAATTGCATCTGGATCTACCACAGAAGTGGCAGGTGTATAAACACTTGGGTCATCTTGTGCTATCCCAGGCACATCAGCAGGAAGCTGGATCACAAATAGAGCAGCTGGGGCCTGGTACAACGACTTAGCTGCTAAATCCTTGCCTTGCATGTGCCAGGATCCCATACGGGCACTGGTTTGTATCCCTACTGCTTGACTTCCCTTTTAACTCCCTGCTTGTGACCTGGGAAAGCAGTAGAGGATGGCCCAAAACCTTGGGATCCTGCACCCGTGTGGGAGACCCAGAAGAAGCTCATGGCTCCTGGTCTCAGATCAGCTCAGCTCCGGCCATTGTGACTGCTTGGGGAGAAAACCAGCAGATGGATCTTTCTTTTTGTATCTCTTTCTGTATATTTGCTTTCCAATAAATAAAGTACGTCTTTTTAAAAAAGTGGAGCAGCTGGATTTGACTTGACACTTACATGAAGTGCTGGTGTTACAGATTGCAACTTGGCCCACTGTGCCATGGTAATAGTCTGAATCTTTCTGAGTTTTTTTTTTTTTTAGAAATTTTTATTTTTATTGGAAAGGCAGATATACAAAAAGGAGATACAGAGAGAAAGCTCTCCCATCCAGTGATTTATTCTGCAGTAGCTACAATGACAGGAGCAGAGTCATTCCAAAGCCAGGAGCCAGGAGCTTCTTCTGGGTCTTCCATGTGGGTGCAGGGTCCCAAGGTTCTCCCAGACCACGAACAAGGAGATGGACGGGAAATGGATCAGCTGGAACATGTACTGGCACCCACATGAGATCAAAAGGATTGCCAGGTGAGAATTAGCTAATTGAGCCATTGTGCCAGACCCCTGATTTCTTAAGTTGTGTTCCTAATCTTTGAAAGAGGATAACATTTTCATTCCAACAGCTTTCCATTAAAGTTTTCTTTCAGGGTAACTGAAAGCAATGGAATGAATCCTATTTCAACATTCTTCATTTGGGCGTATTCTATTTTTAGATCTTGTGCAGCTTCAGCTCAGCCTCTCTCACTGTTCTACAAGGCTGTTTTTCCTTCTATTTTTTTAAGTATAACTTTATTTTGATGATGTTTACATAGTTGAGAAGGGTTCATGCCCATCAGGCAGGGTGAGAATGTTCGAGAAATGGGGGAAAGTAGATGCAACATTTGCTTCTAATTTATTTTTCTTCCTGTATCTGGGGAAGGAGGAGGAGGAGAGGGGAGAGGGCTGCTCCCAGCAGCCACACTGCATCAGCACCGGGAGTTGGGAATGGGCACTTGATGTAATCCTAGGGGCCTTGACGTGGAGCATGTTCTGAGGGTTCTGCTTAAGTGGTGCCAGTGGTTCTGAAATGCTGTTGATTTCATTGCTCCAAGGTCGAGGAAATCTTTCCAAGTTCTATGGCTGACATAGTCTAACTTAGAGTCTCCACTCGCCCAGATACTTGGTGTCAAAGCTTGGCTGGGAGAGTTGTCCAGTTTTTCTGCCTTCCATCTTCTGCCATGGCACTAGACATCCTCTGTAGGCCCCAGTGAGCTGTTACGTCGCCTGTGTGCATCTTGCCATGCCGTCCACTGCACAGGCTTCAACAGTCACGGAGGCCCATTCTGACACATGCAAGGCCTTTTTTGGCGTACTACTTCATTCAACACTGCTCACATCAGTGCTTGACATCTTTTGTATATTCCAATTATATATAATCAGAATAATTATGTAAATATATGTAAAATTTTAAATTGAGGTTTAAGATAATGCGCTAATGAAGACAAACTTACAGAATAAGCCTTCACAAATGTGACTTTCAGATATTTTTTATGCATTTGATTTTGGAAAAGAACTGGCTAATGTGATTTGGATCCCTATGTTGTGGACATGTAACAAGAATAGTTAATCTACGGAACACTTTGTCAGATAAGGGAGCCACCTGTAGCATACCCTACCTATGAGTTTAATGCCTGTAAATTTGATGTACTAATTTATGATACACATAACTCATGTAAATTTTCTAGTCACAAAAAAAATTTTAAAGGGAAATTACACATTTAATGTGTAGATGCCTTTTCATTAAATCATAATTAGTTACATTAATATTTATAAACTATGTAATAGAATTTTAGAAATAAAAATTTGCAATATGATTTCCCAGATGTCTGTATCTTATTAAAGGATTGCAGTTCTGAGGTGGGTCTGATAACAAGGCACAGTAGGTTAAGCCTCCATCTGTAACATTTACTATATTCTAGGATAGAGGAGATCAATATCATTCCTTTAGAAATACTGATTAGAATTTAAATGTGTTCCACAGTTCCATCTCTCTTATGCAGAGAAAGAATTGTTGGAGAGAGAGCCAAGAGGAGAAGCCCATCAGGAAGTCCTTAGGCGAGCAGCCAGAGACCTTCCCATCTATACCAGGACCATGTCTGGAGGTAAGCTCAGTGATGGATGCTGTGGGACAGCCCCCAAAGGATGTGCAGCGTGACTGGCAGTTCATCTCAGAGTTACTTGGGTTGCTTAAGTGCTTCCCGTACAGTGTCATAAACCAGAATAGAAGCAGGAATGACATTATGGCACAGAGATCTCACTGAGATCACAATGACTGCAATGCTCTTTTGCCTTAATTGTGATTCCATGAAAAGTAGGAAGTATGGAAATCTTGAGGTGTCATAGCATTTATTTTTAAGGTTATTTTATATTTATAATTGAAAAAAATGTATTTGAGAGGCAGAGTCAGGAGTCAGATGAAGAAAGAGCTGCTGTTAGCTGGTTCATTTTTAATGTGCCTGCAATGAGCAGGGCTAGAGAGGGCTGAAGCAGGGACCTTGGGCTCCACCCAGTTCTGCTCTGTGAGGAGTAGTACTCAAGTACTTGAGCCATTGTTGCTGTCTTTCAGGGTTTTCTTTAGCAGGCAGTCAGAGTCAGGAGCCAGAGCAGGGCGTGGAACCCAGGTCCTCTGATGCTCAGCCTGGATGTCTTACCCAGCATGCTCATTGCTGGACTAAATGTCCTAGTGATTCACTAAAGACTTTCATATTTATGTTAAGGGAGCAATATCTATAACGAATTTAAAATTTGTAATGTACATGTATTTTATAAGACTTTATTTAGATATAAGGACAATTTCTTTACTCATCCTTAATATTTATAATGATTTATTTTACCAATACAATGAAATGTATCTCTTTATTGGGTCATATTTTTAAAAATATTGATTCATGTGTTTGAAAGGAAAAACAAATGGGAGTTAGAGAATAAGAGGGAAAGGAGGATGGAGAAGGGGGTGGGGAGAGAGAGAGAGAGAAGGAATAAAAGAAAGATCTACTGGCTCATTTTCAAGTGCCCACAACTGTAGCTAGTCCAGACCTAAACCAGTAATCTAGAGGTCTGTCTGGATCTGGCACATGGGTAACAGGACCTCAGCTATGTAGGCTGTTATCTGCTGCTTCCCAGGATGCATTAGCAAGAAGCTAGGATTTGACTTGACACTCCAGCATGGGATGTGGATATCTCAGAGCAGCAGCTTAATTTGTTGTGCTGTAAAATCCATCCCGAGTCATATTTTTAGTATAATTTAACGCTCTTTCATTAAACATTATATTAAGAACCAGCACACACTGATCCTTGATATTTGTCCACCAAGATTTACCTGAACTTTTTTCGACTTTAGACCTGCCTGTTGTCGTACCCACTAGCTCTGTATTGCCATAAAACTTGAAATATGGCCTGTTCAGGAGTTAGCCTTTAGCCCAGCAGTTAAGAGGGCTGACTCATACAAGTGAATAGCCAGCTTCAACTCCTGGTTCTGTCTGCAGACTCCAGCCAGTGCAGACCCAGGGACCTCCTGGCGGTGGCTCTGCACAAGCGATGTGGCCTGTGTTCCAGGCTCCTGGCTTTGGACAGTGGGGCAGCAGATGGAGTGCTGTTTCCTTGTACGTGTGCTTGCTTGCCTTCTCTCTTTCTGCCTCTTAAAAATTCAATTTAAAAAATTATATGACAAAACCAAATTAAGTATATGAAATCTCAACTGGTTTTAAAAACTTAGCATGAAAAAGAGTGTAAATTATCTTACTCATATTTTATATTTATTTCTAACTCTGAAATCACAATTGAATCTAAATCCCTCAAGCAACTTTTATTTTGTTTGTTTTTGCTCTTTCAAGGATCAAGTAGTGGTTTCCTGATTTTGTTTTAAGCCACTGGTTCCATCTGAAAAAAACTGAGTTATGCTTATGTATATTTATATTTGCCCTGTAAGCCTAGGCAAATATTAAGCCCCCAAGAATAAGTGATGTCCTAAGTTTTCAAAGCCAGACAGTAATGCTACAGGAACAAAAACCAAATCCCATTCCTGGCATGGTGTTTATCTACTGATTCTCAAAAAATTTCTAATGATATAACTCATATATGATTAAATTCTCCTAAACAAGATATTTAAAAATTTAAAATAAAATTCCCCTTTGGTAGACAAATAATATTCAAGTCATTCATTTTAATTTATAGTTGAACATAATATGGCACTTGTGTTTTTTATTTTTAAAAAAGTATATTTATGAAAAATAATAAACTGCTTCTAAGTTTTTGTGATTTCCTGTGAGTACACAGTTCCATGGAGTGGAGATGATCAGCATGCAGGGCATGTAATCTCCTGGAGATTTTGTAACCAGACTCATGCTGCCCGTTAAGTCAGCCTGTCAGGGCAACTTGAGCACTTAAAATGACTGTATGTGTAAAATGCATAATGGGATTCAGAGATTTACTTTGACAAAATAAGGTAAAATCTGTCATGCATATTTTTATATTGATTACATATTCAGTGATATTTTGGCTATGTGAAGCAATATAAAATATGTTATTAAACTTAATGTTCCCTTTTTTCATTCTGCTTCATTTAATGTGGCTAGTGGAGAATTTAAAAGCATACAGAGAACTTTCTGTTCTCCAAGCACTGCATTAGATCAACACTTTGCATGAAGCATGGTGCCTAGGGGCTTCAAACACAACGTGCCAAAAGGCTCCTTCAGGCAGGAAATGAATACCCCGTGCTGTTCATCTCTGCAATTCTTCTGAGGGCAAGTTGTAAGATATGATTAAAACCTATTTGCACATTGCCAGCAACTCCATACAGGCCTTGTTGTTTGAACAGAATTCATGTTAGTTCTAGTTTATTCCAACTGTTTCCTTTTTCAGCGATTATGACATTAGCTGATACTGACAAATGAAATGCTTTAGAAAAAAAAAATCTGTGGACAGACTCTTGTGGGTTAACCTCTTCAGAGAACTGTGACTGTCACCAAGTTGCTGCCTTTTGTATCGCAACCGTCAAACATCTTATTTTTAGTAAATTTTAATTCAATATATTCAGTTCATTATTAGATCTAAGACTGAGCGGAGCTTTCTCTCCCTGTAGCCATCCGCTACTGTGACAGATGCCAACTCATAAAACCAGACCGCTGCCATCACTGTTCCGTCTGCGATAAGTAAGGTCGCCTTTCTACTTCTAAAATTTGTGATAGTGGGCTTTCTTCTTAGCATACTTCTCACTGTTTTCCAAAATATCCCATTTTTGATTCCAGTGTTCCAGTGTGCTTCTCTGGCCTTTTTTTTTTTTTTTTTGCTGGGGTGGGGGACTCTAATATAACCGAAATAATCAGTTGGGTTGCTACAATGTGGCCTAGGACTTCAATCCTTATTCCTTTCTCCCCAGATTCACACTGATCTTAGTGTTGTTGCTTTAAGCAATTCTTACTCAGTTTAGCAAATGCTCCACTTCTTTTATGAATGTCTTTCATCTTAATAAAAGGGACTTGAGTTCATGACAGTTATTATGCATTTAATACACTATAAGGACACTACTACTTTCCTTAGGGACTGACATTAAGCTTTATCCAGGTTTTCTGGACATCTGTTAACATTTTGTACTTTCTCTAACATAAGAGTTACATATTAACGTGAATAATTAAAACAGTAATTTCAGAAAAGGAATTGATTTGCATCTTAAAATGTCTATGTTTTGGATTTTAGGTTCTATTGTTATAAGTAGAATTGCCTGTAGTGTTTATTTTTTAAAAATATCTGTTTATTTAAAAGGCAGAATTACAGAAGAGAGAGCTTATATCTGATGGTTAATTTCCCAAATGGCTGCAAGGACTGAGCTTGGAGCTGGGCCAGGCCAAAACCAGGCCTCCCAAATACGGGGGCCATCTTCTGCTGCTTTCCCAAGGCTCATTAGCAGGGAGCTTGATCTAAAGTGGAGCAGTGGAGCTCCTGGGACTACAGCAAGCACCCATAATAGGTGCCTACAATGCTGAACCCCTAGGTGTTTATTATAGATAAGAATTTTGCTGTTATTCAGTTTCTTTTAGGTAAATTACTTTGCAATATTTTGTTTTCCATGGCTGTTTAAAGTGAGCATGCTTTATGTTTTCTTTTATAATTTATTGTCATTAAAATTTTAAGGACATTCAATTGGTTTTGTTTTGCTTTTAGATGTGTTTTGAAGATGGATCATCATTGCCCTTGGTGAGTAGAGCTGTAAACTTGAACAGGTTTCTGACCCTATGCATTTTAATGAAACAAATTGCTTACACATTGAAATCTTTTTATAAATGAAACATTAACTAACTTAGGAAGTATTTTCATAGCTTGTTTCTGCAATTCCATTAATTCAAAGAGCTTTTTATTCCCTGGAATTATGTTTAAAGTGAATAGATTAACAATATAAAACTTAATTTTTCTGATTTGCTCAAAAACAAAGGGCTTTCTACATTTGTGTTTGTATAAGCACAGACTCTAAACTACCTTCCAGAAATATACTCATTCATGTACATATAATCCTTATGTAATACCTCAATGCAAGTTTCTAGCGAAGAGTCCAATTCAGCTGTCTGCTCATGGCCTGGGATAAACACTGTAGACTGGCCAAGAGTGTGGACCCATGCCATTCCTGGGGAGACCCAGAAGAAGCTCCTGGCCTTAGCCTGGCCCAGCCCTAACTGTTACAGCCACCTGGGTAGTGAACCAATGAATGGAAAATCTCTCTTTTTCCCTCTTACTCCATCTGTTAACCTTGACTTTCAAATAAATAAATGAATTCATCTTTTAAAAAAATAGAGTTGAAAGCTAAGTTTATTTTAGTGCAAGAAATCTTCACAGTCTGTGCATACAAGACATCTTCAAAAAGCTCACGAAGTACATATTATAAAAAGAAAACTGTGTGCATACATCAGAGTTTTTTGGTACCCAGACAAACCTTTTAATTCTGTTTACGTGTGTGGGAACTTTGAAAGTTGCCTTTTATCTGACTTCCCTTAGTAGGAGATGCTGTCAGTGCCTCTCCTGCGTCCCCTGACCCACCCACCTGGGAGTCCAGCTGGATACCTCCCCAGATAAACTCAGCAGCCAGGCTGAGGCAGGCCAAGTCCAGGAGCCACGAGCTCAGTCCTGGAGCTCCTTCATAGGTGTCAGGGACCCAAGTGTCCGGGCCGTATTTTTACTTCCTTGTCAGGTGCATTAGCTGGGAGCTGAATTGGAGGCAGAATAGCTTGGACTCAACTGGTGCTCTGATACAGGATGTGGATTCACAAACAGAAACTCAGTTTGCTCTGAGCTGTCCCATTTTAAAGGGGAGGAGACTGAGATTCAGACAAATTTGCAAGTGGGCAGAAAGACTCCCAACATGCTTTTCAGACTGGAAAGGTCACATTCTTTCCAATGTATTAATTATGTTGTTTTTCCAGTTTAGACTCAGAAAGCAATTGCCCTGAAACAGCAATTGCCCTATAGCTTGCTCTGTTTTAACATTTACATTCAAAATATTAGAGAAGTATTGATCTGGACATGCTTGGCTCCTCCTTATTCATGCTTGATTTTCTAGCAGAAGATGTGCACACTTAAAATATGTCCTTTTCCTTTACACATTGAGTCTTCAAAGAAAGCAGTAGGAAGAAAAAAAAAAGTCTAACAAAAGGTAATTTGTTATTAAAACCACAGGAAGTTACCAAAGTCGGTATTATTACTCCACTTTCTCTAGTAATTTTCATATCACGACTCTATGGGTGCATATCAAACTCTAAAATACTTTCTCTCTGTCCTGTTTCGTGGCTCCGATGTGGTGAATTACCATACTGCTAAGTAAAATTTAATAGAAGCTTAATAGATGCTTTAATCGATGATAAAAGTCATTTTCTTTGCATTAAAATGCTATTTAACATTAAACACAAAAGCTGCTCTGCATGTAGGAAGAAGTTTTGCTTATCCCTTCCACTTTCCCCCAGTCCACAAGAATCCTTGTTTACACCCACGCTGTCTCTAAGGCTTAGAGTCTCCTTACCTTTGCCCATTCTTGAAATCAATGCAGTATGCAAAGGAAACAGCCTACATCCTTTCGAGACAGAGTGCAATTATACCAGCTTGGACAGAAGTGTTTTCAGTGTCATTTCTTGCCATTGTTTGACTCAGCTACAAAAAAAGCCATTCTCATCTGAGTCCCAGCAGAAATATCTCAATCTGCAACTACAACCATGGATGAACCTGTGAATTCAGCTTCTTTATGATTTACTTCTCTCATACAAGACCCTGAAGTTCAAAACGTACTGTCTAATGCTGTCACATTAGATAGCATGTTTTCATATATGTATATCTTTTTAAAGGTAGAATATAAATACAGCTGCATTTTAAAATACCTAGGAACATGTTCTATGTTCTGTCTTATTATCAAAATCAGTACAAATTATTTCACCAACATTTGAATGGGAGCAAGGACATTCGAGTAAAGCAAATAATATATGTATATTCTGTGGAATAGGTTCATTATACCAGTTATACCAGGAAAAGAAGTATGGTATTATACTGGGCCTGTTGGTTGGTAGGCTGGACATGTGAAACTCACTGAGAATGTTTTTGCTTCATTGACAGGGTGAACAACTGTGTTGGATTTTCAAATTATAAATTCTTCCTCCTTTTCTTGGCTTATTCTCTGCTGTACTGCCTTTTTATCGCTGCCACAGACTTACAGTATTTTGTCAAATTTTGGACAGTAAGTAATTTCCTGGCTGACTTTTTCCAATATGAAAAAGTATTTCATATATAATTTCAGTGGACAATAGGTTCATACACTGATTTTATAATATTAATTTTTAGAAGTCAATCATGATTATTTGTAGATTCCATGTTTGTTAATTCAAGTAGTCAGTAAAAAAAATTATATGTAACTCCCAAAGCAGTACTGACAGAGCTTGCCTAGTTGTTGGCAGAGAGGCCTAGATTAGCTGAAAATCTGCATTGCCTTTTAGTTACCTTCGCACGTTCCCAGGCCATAAGCCAGTGTGTGATTTTTACATTCTGTCTATTGCCATGTTTTTACATCTCTATATTTTTGGGGGTGTAAGGGTAATACTGAAGTACTGTACAGTGTTTCTAAACACAAGACTAATGTCTTTTGGGAAAACTGTATGTGTCAGAATAATCTTCATTTAGGTCAGAGTCATGTGCTTTTGGCAAAACTTTCCACATGAATGAATTGACAATATATATTAAAATGCTATGTTTAATTAGAAATACATAAAACAAGGTTTATCTATTAATCAGTTGATGAAGATGTGACAATAGGCTTGTCAGAAGCTAATTATGTATTTCCCCTATAACAGTGATTCAGTGTCCATGGCCGCTTTATCAAATAAAGTAAAAATCAAAGAAAAACCAAATGAAATTGATTAGAATAAAAAAGAGTTGATTAGATAAGAAAGCTTTTTTGTGTACTAAAAATAGCCATGTTTTCCTTATTTTTAAGTTATGTCTTTTAAGTCTTGAATTTTTGTTTTTAGGTTTTGCTTGATAAAGATTTAAGTGACATTTGTTGTTGTATTATATATTTTAACTGTAGGGAAAAGTATTAAATGCAGTAGTTCCAATATCTGTAGAAAATTCATTGTGCATACACCAAGTGATAGTAAGAAGTAGCTTATCCCCTGCCAGGATTGCTTTATTATTTTCACTAAATTGTCCTTTATTATGATAATAAATTCTGAACTGCTCAATTGTTGATGTTAAATTGGAGCCAGATTTGATATGAAAGAATTGATGAATGCTTACTGCCAGGCACCATGTCCCAAACAGTCCAGTTTAGGACATATTTCCCCTCACTGATTTTCATTCCTGTGATGGTTATCATTCCAAACCACAAATAAACCTGGAAAGTAATCCCCAGGGTTTTCACTGTGTGAATCCTAGTGTCGAGAACTGTCAGTGACATCTTATGTCCTGTGTCAGTCTGACAGGTGCCAAGGACATTAGAACACTGTGACCCTCTGTCGGAAGAGGTGTTCACTGGGGCTTCCCTGTGACCCGGCCCTCCACCATGAGGAGTCCAGCTCTCCTTGAATGTAGTAACAGTGAGAATCAAACTGATTTTGCTTTGAGATGGCCCATTTCAGTCCATGGATACGATAAGGCTTATTTGCATTAGCATTAACTTTTCCTGCTTCACTATTGTTTGAAGCAACTGGAAGCATTATTGTGGATGTTTTGTGTGTATTCTCTTACTGTTGTTGTTCATTGTAATGTGAAACATCAGTGGGAACAGTGGGTGCAAGTGCCAGCTAACCTGTTTTCCTGTTTCCTGACACGGCAATAAAACTGTGTAAATATTTGTGAATCTGTAGTGATTAACAAAGCATATTCAGATAGTAAAACTAAAACCACATTTCATAGTTCCTTTTATCTTACCTTCCTGCTATTAAAGCTTACAAATATACTCCCATAATTTTTCTGTTTCTTGGCTTTATAGAATAATACAAACATTCCAAATTTAATGTCTTTCATATATATAACCTAGTAACTATTTATTTTAATCTGATAAAGTATGTATTTTCCTAAAGTTTTAACATAAAGTTACAATGTCTTTCTTCATACCTAAATTTGAAATAATAAGCAAAAAAAAATTACTAATTTTATTATAAAATTAGGAGGCTGTCTCTTTGACAACCCATTTTTTCTTCCTTTTTTTTTATAGAATGGTCTACCAGACACTCAAGCCAAATTCCATATTATGTTTTTATTCTTTGCTGCGGCTATGTTTTCTGTCAGCTTGTCTTCTCTGTTTGGCTATCATTGTTGGCTAGTCAGCAAAAATAAATCTACATTAGGTGAGTAACCACTTATTGTAGTTGATGAAGCTAAAACATGTATAAAGGTATCTACTGATGAAACGGAATTAAATATGTATAATATTTAGTTAATGAAACTAAATTAAATTTGTGTAACAGTATCTACTGTATCCAAATGACATTGTCATGAGTAAATATGCCAGCTTGTTCTGAAATGGTAGAAATCATTCATTCTTCCAGCATTTATTGGTGTGAAGTCACTTAGACACATGCAGATTCACTCACTCCATACTTACTGCTTGTTTCTTGTGTTTATATATTACGGTGAGAAAAGGGAAAGCAGTACAGTGAGTGGCACAAAAATGAATAACTAAAGTATTGACAAAATATAGGTGCTTTTAAAGAAATAAAGAGGATACTCAGGTCTGAATAAAGGGCTGGTAATGTTAAGAATGCATGGTCAGGGAAGAGGTCACCACAGTTAAGACAAGTACTACTGTCAAGTCAGCCATGGAACTAGAAAGAACATCTTACAGAATAACAGTAAATTCTACAGACCCCCTGATGTGGAATACAACAAAAATTAGTGCATAGAGTAAAATGTATAGCTATATGTGCATCTATTAAAAAGAGAGAAATGTGAGCTCGTTACTTTATATTTTAAGGAACTGAAAAGAAAAAGACGAAAATAAACAGAAAACCAACAAAAGGAAGTTGGTAATAAAGACAGCAGATCATGGGAATAGAAAATTTTTTAAATATAGAAAAATCAATGAAATTAGTCCTTGATTCTTTAAAAACAGCATCAAACGTGAGAATCCTTGCCTGGGAAGATAAAAGAAGAATTATAGGAGAATACCATGAAATACTATAAATCTAACCTTTAGGTAACCTAGAAGAAATATACAAATTACTAGAAGCATATAAAGTAGCATATTGACAAAAGAAGAAATAGATTAGAATATACCATAGCCAGAGATTGAAGTGGAAAGAACAAAATCTCACAGTCAAGAAAAGTCCAGGCTTTACTGGTAGCTCAGTTTAAATCTTTAAAAAAAAAAAAAAAATCAGTTCTGGGCCCAGCGGCGTGGCCTAGCGGCTAAAGTCCTTGGCTTGAACACACCAGGATCCCACATGAGCACCAGTTCTAGTCCCGGCAGCTCCACTTCCCATCCAGCTCCCTGCCTGTGGCCTGGGAAAGCTGTCGAGGACGGCCCAAAGCCTTGGGACCCTGCACCCGTGTGGGAGACCTGGAAGAAGTTCCTGGATCCTGGCTTCAGATCAGCATAGCATCGGCTGTTGCAGTCACTTGGAGAGTGAATCATCGGACAGGAAGATCTTGCTCTCTGTCTCTCCTCCTCTCTGTATATCTGACTTTCCAATAAATAAATAAATCTTAAAAAAGAATCAGTTCTTTCAAACTCTGCCAAAAATCAGCACAAAACACTTCTGACTCATTGATAAAGCTGGCATTATCAAAGACATTTATTAGTGTTTCTTTTGAATATGGATGTTATAACCCTTAACAAAACGTTGACACACCAAACTCAAAGGCATGTTTTCAAGGTTTATATAACATGATTGAATAGTTTAGTGTATAAAATTTGATATGTGAGTATATACTATATCAGTAGAATGAAGGGAAAAAATCAGGGTCATGTCAGTTGATGCAGAAAAACTGACAAAATCTAACATCCTTTCATCATTAAGAAAATAGTCAACAAACTGGGAGGGGATAATGGATTATTCAGGACTCAGAACGGGGGGGCTGGTCCCAGCACTTCTGGTGGTGCCAAGCCACGATGAAGGGAAAACGACATAAGAGAAGGAGTTGGGCTTCTCTGGCCCACGGAAGAAGAGCTCTGATTTATCCGACAAGATGGAGATGATGGCGCTTGGGACGCTGTGGTTGATTCTGCTGGCCGCCGTGAGGCTGGAGAATGGTCTGGCTCAGTTCGGAGGAAAGGCAGGAAAGAATTTACTACTCTCATGCAGAGATTCAGAGAGGCTACAGAAGACAGCTCAGGAACTGAAGTGCAGCCACCTCTTGTTTTTGAGGAAGTAGGAGTTGGCATGATGTGTTCCTTGCCTGGGTCCCTGGACAGCCACGTGCCAGGCCTTGATTCTCCAGGCTACTATTGAAACTTCAAGGGAGATAGGATTAAAAGACAGAGTGGTGGTTCTGCCTAGTGTTTAAGGCATGGAATGCTTGGGGTTGATTATCAGCTTGCTACTTGATGTGGACCCTGGGTGGCAGCAGTGACGGCTCAGAGAGTTGAGTCCCTGCCACCTCCATGGGTGACCTGGGTTCAGCCCCTGCCTTCCTTCTGGCCATTATATGCAATTGGGAGAGTGAACCAATAGATGAGAAATACTGTCTGTCTCTCTTTCTCTTTCTCGAAATTAAATTCACTCCCACTCCCCACCCCCCAAAAAGACTAGGAATAGAGCTTGATAAACAAGCTGGTAAAGGATATTAATGAGAAATCTGTAGCCAGCGTCATATACTATGGTGAAAAAACTGAAAAAATTCTAAATCAAAAAACAAGATGCCCTCCTTAATCGCTGCTAATTCAACATGATATTTGAAGTCTTAATCAGAGCAGTTAGACAAAAAAACAAAACAAAACAAAAAAAGGCTCATGTGTTCTCACAAGTGGTTTCCTGTTTATTTTGGTTGATTTACTTCGATTATTTCTAAATAGAAGAGATTTTAGCGGATATGTTCTTACGTACTTGCCTCATCTCTTTCAGAGGCATTCAGGAGTCCTGTGTTTCGACACGGAACGGATAAGAATGGGTTCAGCTTGGGATTCAGTAAGAACATGCGACAAGTTTTTGGTGATGAGAAGAAGTACTGGTTGCTCCCCATTTTTTCAAGGTACTTTTCTTACTGAATTTTATTAAAGAAAGCAACCCAATGAAACAGAAGTTCAAGGAAAGCCTCTAATTTCATAGATCTGTAACGCTGCCTAGAAACTCCTGTTGTTTTACAATTCTGACTTTGTGAGTCACTGTTGTATCAATGAAAAATCAATTAGCTCATCATCTCCCTGTACACGGACGCTGTGTTGAAGCCCATGTGTGAAATAGCCCTGGGACCTGTAACTCAGGATTTTCTGCTCTTAGATACCAGCATTGTAAGAGAGTTCAGCTCCACTGTCTCTTCTGTGATTCCATTGTGAACTTCTGTGTTTCAGTCTGGGTGATGGCTGCTCCTTCCCGACTTGCCTTGTTAACCAGGATCCTGAACAACCCTCTACTCCTGCAGGACTGAATTCAGCAGCTAAAAAGTAATCCCACGTTGATTTGTTTTTATTTACTTTCAAATAGGATTTTATTTTGAGTTTTTTTGTTGTGTGCTCCTTTGTAGGCTGCAAAAAAAAAAAAAAAAGCTAAACACATAAGGTAATTTAATATAACAGTTTGCACCTGGAGGAGGAAAGGGGTGCAACTGTGGTGTGGTTACATATGGAACTTCAAGTATGTTTGTAAAATTTTTTTCCAAATTCATTTTACAAATCAAGAGATGAATACACAGGTGTTATTATTATTATTATTATTTTTACTGCAGGAATCTAAAGAAAACAAATCTAAGTCAAAATAAGTTTCCCATTACTCAGAAAGGGTAAAATCCGCTGACCTTCCGTGTCTTTCCTCTGAGTGATGATGATTAGAACAGAAAAGCGTTTCAGACCCAGGCCTTTGGAGATGAAAGCAAGCCTCAGTCATCTGCTGTAGCCTTCCGTCAGCACTGGGCATCACATCCTTCCTCCTCTCTGAATACCTCATAGCGTTCCCTGTGGAGGGAGAAGGGAAGTGGTCTTGGCAATTCATTGCTTAGAAACTTGTTTCTGCTCTAAGTCTATCATAAATTTAAGGAAAGCAACAGACCCGAAATTTGACATGCTGTATATATATAAATTTTCCATGGTTTGAACAATGTCTTTTTGTATCTTCATGTATCTTTTGAGTAAGGTGGTACTTCTAATTTTTAAATAAAATGCAGTAGCAAAAGAATAACCATACCCTTCTGTATTAGATTTAGGCTTCTTTTGTTTTTAAACATTTATTATTTTTTAAAGATTTATTTATTTATTTATTTTATTGGAGAGGTGGGTATATAGAGAGGAGGAGAGACAGAGAGGAAGATTTTCCATCCAATGGTTCACTCCCCAAGTGGCCGCAGCGATTGGAGCTTAGCCAGTCTGAAGCCAGGAGCCAGGGGCCAAGAGCTCTTCCAGGTCTCCTATGTGAGTGCAGGGTCCCACAGCTTTGGGTCATCCTCAACTGTTTCCCCAGGACACAAGCAGGGAGCTGGATGGGAAGTGGGGCGACCGGGATTAGAACCGGCGCCCATATGGGATCTCAGTGTGTGCAAGGGGAAGACTTCAGCTGCTTCTTAGTGGCTGCCGTGCTCCTAGTGTCAAAACCTCAGCTGACATTCCAGTCATCCAGGGAACATCTCTTCTCTACAATGCTTTTTCCATTGAAATTTGGAGTGACTCCAGAATCCATCTCGAGACAGCGTTCCTGGCAGCCATTCCCTACTCCTTGTTTTGTGTTTTTTGGTTTGTTTACATACTCACAACTGCCAAGAGATGAAACCTGTCTGCCCTCCTATGCCCAGAGTGAGCCATGTTCAGGACACACTCCGCTGTTCAGTGTGGAGACCTTGGAGTGTATTTCATGGGGACATTTGGAGATATGAGAGCCTTTTACTAGTTGTGACCTATACATTTTTGCTAGAAAATTCTACAGAGCTAAATGCTAATGGTTTTGCTTAACATCTTTCTAGGATATTTATACATATTTTAGTTTCCTGAAGCTATTACACATATGTGTTTAAAGATTTATTTTTTCCATTTGAAAGTTACAGAGAAAGAAGGAGAAACAGAGGAACCTTCTGTCCACTAGTTCACTACCCAAATGGCTGCAACAGCTAGAGTTTGGCCAATCTGAAGCCAGGAACCAGGAGCATCCTCCAGGTTTCCCATTTGTTTACTGCGACCCAAGGACTTGGGACAGCCTCCACTTCCTTACCAGCTCATAAGCACAGGGCTGGATCAGAAGACGAGCCAGAGTTCAAGTGCCATATCCACCCCCAGTTCTGAGAGCCAGCAAAAATGACTAAAGTGTTTGGGTTCCAGCCATCCAAGCGGGAGACCTAGATTATGTTTCTAGCTCTAAACTTTGACCTTGCCTTTCCCCAACTATTGTATTTGGGACATAAACCAGACTCGGGGGTTTTGTGTGTCTTTCATGTTTCTCTGTCTTCTATCTTAAATAAGCGCAATCAATCCATTAAAGACATCTGACTTTTAAGAGTCTTCACTTATCAAGTTAAACATCAGGTTTCCAAAAGCTGATGGTGAAAGCCACGCTTGTGGCACAGCAGGTTGAGACATCCTGGTGCTCTGCTTCCAGTCTGCCTTTCTGGGAAGCGGAGGATGATGACCCAGTTACCATATACCTGGGCTCCTACCACCGTTTGGGAGACCAGGTAGAGTCCTGGCTCCTCTGGCTTCAGTATCATCCACACTTGACTTTTGCAGCCAATTGGAGAGTGAACCAGCAGATCGAAGGTCAACTGTCTGCGTTTCTCCCTTTCTTTGTTGCTCTGCTTTTCAAGGAGATAAATAAATATGTCTTTTAAAAAATATCTGCTAATGCCAGATGTTTTAACATTTCCACAAGATAGTGCTCAAATCTCTTCCTCTCTGTCTCTCCTCTCTGTATATCCGCCTTTCCAATGAAAAAATAATAAAAATAAATCTTTAAAAAAGAAAAAAAAAAAAAAAGGGCCCGGCGCGGTGGCGCAAGTGGTTAAAGGTCCTTGCCTTGCACGCCCGGGATCCCATATGGGCGCCGGTTCTAGTCCTGGCAGCCCCGCTTCCCTTCCAGCTCCCTGCCTGTGGCCTGGGAAAGCAGTCGAGGACGGCCCAAAGCTTTGGGAACCTGCACCCGCGTGGGAGACCCGGAAGAGGCTCCTGGCTTCGGATCGGCATAGTATCGGCCCGTTGCGCTCACTTGGGGAGTGAATCATTGGACGGAAGATCTTCCTCTCTCTCTCTTCTCTCTGTATATCCGTCTTTCCAATAAAAAAATAATAAAAATAAATCTTTAAAAAAAAAAAAAGATAGTGCTCAAATCTGTTGTTTCAGTTGGAGAGAGGGAATTAGGGAGTTCATTGTTCTAGATGTTTTAGACCACTTTAGAACTTCAAGGCCAGTTTTTTTTTTTCAAACTTTCCTTCCTATCGTTTCTCATATCTATACATCACTTGCAAAATTAATATTTTATGCAATATGTCTTTGAATTGGTACTAAGCTTGTTTTTAAACTAGAGTTTATGTCACCGTTAAAAATGAGGAACTAGTATAATTTACTGTAAATGGGGTATTACTTTAAAAACAAAATTGGCAATGAAATACCATAGGAAGTTCTGACTATATTCCCTATTCTGCTAAAGGCATGAGACTGTGGCTGTTCTTTATGTAAAGTGGAGTTTTGACAGAGGTGCAGATCATCATCTTACTGGAATCAGTGTTATTTAGTACCTAATTCTTGTATCCCCCAAATAGCCTTGGGTACCTCATCAATCATCTTACGTCATAAGGGGCTTCAAAGCCGTACTTTGAGTTCCATTCAGTAAAACTATGGAGAGTTAATTTAACCTGTTACCACCCAGTGATGATGTGAAGGGTATTATGAGAGTGGATGTGCACAAGCCATAGGGCTCTGTCTCCAATGATGGGAAAACTTAGGATCAAATGCACCAAATGTTTCACTTGCTCTTTAAATGGAAATTTCTGGAAAACTTTGGCTGTTCAACATTTGAACTAATCTTTAGATGGATTGAATATTATGTAATGAAATTTATTATCTGTGGGCAGGGTAGAAAAAAAAAATTAACCTTATTCGATTGTTGCCCAGCCCTGACAACCACCAGTTCCCTGCAAAACCATTGAGAGAATCCCAGAGCCACCTTCTTCCTGACTGCCAGTCCTGGCCAGACAGCAGCATAAACCCTGGGAAAGGCAAAGCTGGTAAGGGCGGGTTTTTGTTTTAAAGGTAAACATGTTGAAAACATCCATGTTATTGCCTAGAGAACTGTTGCTTTGGAGACAGACTCCCAGTATATATTTAGAATTATTTTCAAACAGCTGCTTTGAGGTACTTTGATCAACAGCTAACAAAAGTAGAAAATCCCTTTGTGAAGATGGATCTCCTTTGCTTTTTTTCCCAGCTTAAAGAAGCAAATCTGTGTCACTACACACTACATAAAATGATAGAAATTTAAAATATAATATTAAAAAATGCAATAAACTCAGGAAATTGAAAAGAATCTTAAAGTATGCTATTCTTTCACCATAAGATTTCTATCCACTTTACAAGTATCTAAGTAAAATGATCACATAGTTAATAATTTCAGCTAGCTCTGGTTTCTACATATCTCGCTCATACTTCTTGTTATACTGGTTTTAATCTTTTTTTTATTTATTTAATCAATGTGGTTTATTAGCAAAAAATAGATGGACTTTGAGATGAGACTTGACTTTAGATCCCAGTTTGGGTATCAGTATATCAGTGTGGGATATATCTAACCTCATTTAGGCTTTCTTCTGCATTTTTAAAATATTGTCTTTCTCAGGTTTGAATATGGGGCAAAATAATTTGATCATATAGTGATATATGTTTGTATGTGTGCCGCCCCTATAAATTATGAGAGTTGACGTACTTTTGCTAGAATATCTCCAGTTGACAAATTTGTTAGGTCATTTATTAGATCATTTCTATACAGTGCAGTGTTGATTGTAGACTTCTGGTCTACAAACTCTTGTGCTGCTGACTTCAGCTCATTGCACGTGAACATGTTCATTGACTTGTTTGAAATCTTTTTGGAATTTAGTTATTGTGAAAAACAATCAATATTCCCGAGTGAAAATTACCTAATATATATTCAGTCATAGTCTCCTAAAATATGCTTTCTTCAGGAGTCTTGCTTTTAAGGCGTATCTGACCCTCTGATGATCCCCATGGCTTGACAGGAGTGTGCATAATTCAGTCTTCTCTCTGCACTTTAACATGTGCACTCAATTTCAAGTCTATAGGAAGGACTAGGCATCGCCTAAACAAAGATAGAAGACACCTATTTGCAGTTTCCTCAGAGGAAGAGAGATGTATGCATGTGGCATGTAACTACTGTGGAATGGAGAAACAGCTCACTTCCTTATTGAATGGGTTAAAGCGTCATGTACAGTCATTAACACAGATTCTTGATTTTATATGCGGTTAATTATTTCACATGTTAGATTGTTTCTTCTGTTACTTCAGTGAATAAATTGAGGAGTGAAGTACACAAGATAATACTATGAAAGAAGAAATAGAAAGGGGAGGTGAAATGAGTAAGAGGCTCAGAAATTGGTTTAAGATAGATGCAGAGTTAGGGAGCTAAATGTAGCCTCACATCATGAAGGTGATTTGAGCCGTGCCAGGTTCAATGTGTCTCATTATTTTGCTTCCCAAGTTTGTCAAGTGTATTTTCCAAACTATTTTCAGTAATTTGTATGGCTTAATATGTGTGGTATTAGATGTACAGACACTGGTGTCTGTTAAGCATCATGTAAACACCTGTGTGCAGGGTACCTTTGGGAATATACTGACATATTCATATATGAATAATCAAGTCTCTATGTTCAAAAGAAACACAAGAATGCTAACTTATATTCTCTCTTTAAGGTATGAGCAATCCTGCATTAACCATGGAGAATGAGACTTAACTATTCAGGCAAAACAAAATCATACTATATTAAAGTAAGGTAAGTTTCCCTTTCTTTTTGAAAATTTAAAAAATATTTTACATTATTTGTATAAGTTGAACCAATTTTATGTGTTTCAAGATCCAGATTTAGGAGAATAATAAGTCCCACCCTACCTTCCTTCCGTCCCTTGGTCCCTACTCAGTCTCCTTCCTTCCCTCCCACCCTCCCCCTTCTCCCTGTCCTCCTTCCCTCCCTCCCCCTCCTTCCTTCTGCCCAGTCCTTCCTTCTGCCCAGTCCTCCCTTCCTTCCTTCCTCCCTCTGTCCTTCTTCTGCCCCTTCCCTTCTCTCTCCCTCTCTCCCTTCCTTCCTCCCTTTCTCCCTCTCTTAGTCCTTCACTCTTTCCCTGTCTTCTACTTTCCTCCCTCCCTCCTTTCATCATGGCATTTGGCATACTTGCAGTTTGCTTTACAAGTACAGGCTTAACACTTCTTTAGGTAAAGAATTTTAAAAATAGCAAGCTCCAAATAGAAAAACACTGTTTATAAAGAATATAGACAAAGGCTGTAAATAAGAACTGAATCACACAATGTCAGTTTTGAACATCTACTTTACATTTTCTTGTACTCTGTGTTGTATTAGTTACCGCAGATCAGGAAAACATATTTGCCTTTCTGGGATTGGCTTATCTCACTAACATAAAGCTTTCCATTACATCCGTGTTATTGCAGAAGTTTATGGCTGAGTAGTATTCCATGCTGAATATATATTCCATTTTGTTTATGTAGTCATCCAATGTTGGACATATGGGTTAATTTTATATCTTAACTATTATGAATTAAGCTGCAACAAACATGGATGCAGCTAATAACTGTCTCATATGCTGATTTAATTTTGTTTGAGTAAATTCCCTGGAGTAGAATGGCTGGGTCATATGGTAGATCAATTTTCAGACTCTGAAAACGCTCCATACTGTCTTCCATGATGGTTGCACTAATTAAATTCCCACCAATAGCAAAGTATGGTACCTCCCACCTTCCCCCCTCAATCCTTACTAACATTTATTGTAGTTTTCTGATTTCTATTTGATAGCCATTCTAATTAGGGTGAGATGAAACCTCATTGTGTTTTGCATTTACATTTCCCTGATAGTGAACCTGAAATATTTTTGGTATCTATTGGCCATATGTATTTCATTCTTAGAAAAATCATTTGCTTATTTTTTAACTGTTTGATTTACTTTTGCGGTTATTTTGTTTCTGGAGATATTTCTAAATCCTGCATATTTTCTTTCCATGTTTTAGGTATTTTTAACAGTTTTTCAATGTTCTTAGGGCAAATAATCTCTGTAAATATTATTTTTAGTGACTCATATTAAATGTCTTTCCTAATTGCGTTAATTATGCTTGGGGCTTTGGACATAAACCTAGCTTCAATATTGACTTGATAAATTAACAAACTCATTTTTAGTAATACAGAAAATGGCAGGTATTTGTACTAAAATAAAATATATTCAAGTATAAGATGAATCTGTGTTGTCAGCACGTACCACAGTTATTGCCAGTTTTGCTTTGAAGACTTATTTGAAAAGCAGTGATCAGAGGGAAGGAGAGGGGAAGGTTTTTCAGAGCTTGTTGATTCTACAAGTGAGTGCAAGAACTGGATTAAACCCCAAGTTATCATATATGGACAGGCCTAGGACAGACCAAAGTCGGAAGCTTCATCTTGGTCTTTCCAATGCTTGGGCTATCTTTGACGGCTTTGGCAGGTGCATTGCAGGGAGCTGGATCAGAAGTGGAGCAGCTGGGACATAAACTGGTGCCCAGGTGGGATGCCAGCATCACAGGTGGCAGCTTAATGTGACACAACACTGACACAATGCTGGATTTTTAACATAGGTCTTCCTACTTTACGTAGCATATTTGTGCATTTATGTTGAGTAATATTGTCTGATATTAATATGCCTAATTTTCCCTTTTACTGATCAATAACTTACTTTCTCCTCTTTTTGAAATATCATGTAAAATTATCATTGGCCATTTTATAAAATATTTCTTAGTTCAGGATAGCTTGCAGATAGCTACAGTGGGCTCAAGCCAATAGTAGTGATGAAAAGTAGATTTAATTTAGCTTGCCCAACTGTCCAAGTATACAGTATGAATTTTAAAATACTTTGCTCATGTGATCCCAAAATTTCCTTTCTAACTCAGTTGGGCCTCAAGGTCAATGTAGAAAAACAAAGAATCTTACCACTCAAATTGTGGACCAGATGAATCTTAGCATCCCGAGGCAGTCATGCTGATTCTTGGGCCTTGTGCTAGATTTTCTGAATCAGGATGTGCTTTTTTTTCTTTCTTAATATATGTGCATTAAATTCTGAGAAGCATTAGTCTGGAGCTCTGTATTCAAGAACACATTGAGCTTGATGGCCTATTTGCATAACAGATACTGTTGTCACAAATAATGCATGAGTTCTGCTTTTTTTTTTTTTAAATACCATATAGTAGCTTAATATTTTTGTTTCATTTCAAGGTATCCATGCTGTAAATGAATGGAAGACGCTTTCCACAAGAAGGCAGCATTTGCCAGGATATCAGAATATGAGTTGATGCTCTCCAAGTTATTACATAACATGTAACATTCTTTTAATCCAGTATACATACTGCGACAACTAACACAGATTCCTGTTAAATATTAAAATTTTGGTTTATGAATCGGAACAAGAACTTTTTTTTTACCCGAAACATGACCTAAATTCATTGCCCAGTTTAACTTAAATATGTGTGTAGCACAGTTTACGGCTTTTAAACTTCATGGGTCACCTTTATAATTCAGAAAATTGAGATTATTGGGGTAATATTGTTTAAGATTGGAAAGATTTCACAGCACATTATAAAGCGATTTCTGAAATGCTAGTTGTCATTAAGGTGAAAGAAATGAGACTTCCTTTGCTCTTTCCTTCTGATAGGAACTGAGCTCAGACTGAATGAAATGCCGTTAACTATGACTTCATTACAAAGTCCAAGTTGCCTGAAACTGAAGATCCCCATTCATTTGCTTTTCAGACTTTGCTAGCCTTTGTTCCCTGTTGAGAGATAAGAATGAATACTGAAGCTTGTGCTCCCTGATCAAGCAGCTGGCTGGAACACATTTCTGTGAATGAACAGTGTTCTTAACAAAATAATTCCACATCTTCTCATTTGTATAAATTGGAGGAAAATCTACAACAATAATTAAGGTTGATCTTTTAATATATTTTGGTTGACTTGGATTTTTAAAACTTAGGTCGCTTCTCCTATTGAGCTTTCCGTAAAAATTCGTCTTAGGTCAATAACATCTTTATTATTTATCTGTCCTGTCAGTCTTCTAGTAATATTGGTATCATTTCTGTGTCTTCTCATCAAAACTGTGATATTAAAAGTATGTTTCTTCTCAAGTACCGACCTGTTAAGGTTAGATTATGCAAAACATTAAAAGATCATATCATCTTGGAAATTTAGTTCAGTATGAACTAAATGGCATGCTGTTTGGAAATTAATTTAAGATAAAAAGATGTGTTAGTTGATGCCAAAATATTTGGCTTCACTAAATATACTAAGAAGCTCTTGTGCCTTGTATGCACTATTTAAGAAAAAAAAAAGTATTATTATTTTTTATTTGAATGAACCATAAGTTTTGTAAATGTTAACAATTAGGATATGCTGTATACTTTTTTTTAGTATTGACTTTGAGAATTTAACAAAAATTACCTTTTGAAACCGCATAAAGTAACTGGTATTCAATCAAGGAGAAAATGATAATAAACTTTTCAAAATGTTTATTAGAAAAATATTCAATGCAGGTGAACTAAAAGACCAATGGATAATGGAGCAAAAAACCCTTTGCTATAACCTACCCTTGCTAAAAATACAAAATTTTGTATGAAATGTTTATGGAGTAATCAATACATAATCATTTGAACACAAGGATAGCAGTGTTTTTCATACTTTTTTTTAACTGAAGAATTTGACAATCTGTTTCAAAAAATCTGGGATGACATGATACATTTTTACTTTTATCTTAAAGCAATTTTTTTTCATCTTTCATTACCCTGAAGTGCCAGACTAGAACTGACAACTACTCTGTTAGAAGTTGTAAAGGCAGCAGCAATGTGCAATGCCTTCAGAATCAAATGCAGCCAGATATTTTTTAAAGCACATTACTGCTAGAGCTGTTTCCTAGGCTGGATTCTGATAGATGCTCCTTGTAAAGCTGGAGGCTAGGGGAAGAAAGAGGGGTTTTATCCTTTACCCTGTCAGAGTATTGGTAATTTCCCACTCTAGGTCTTTTATGTATTCATTTAAACATATAAACTGATATACCTTATAACTACATTTGGAAAAGTAAAAGGAAAATAAAATTTTTTTTCATCGTTGTAATGTTTCCTTTCATGTCTTTATTTGGGAAATAACCTTTAAATGCCTTTCTCTTGTTTATTTTAGTTGTGTTTTTAATTTAGAGGTTATACTTCTTGGGGACAATTACATGTCCCTTTACATGTGTACTGTACATTTTACCTGAGGGGAAAAAAGCATCAAGTAAATGGACTCACATCTTGTATGTATTTATAAAATGTAAAGAAATTTGTGTCTGAATATAGTGGTGAAGCATTCTAGCAAGTGCATACCTAAGAATTCACAACTGAAAAGCCTTGATAAGGTTGGTTGTTTTCATGAGCTGTCCATATGAAATTGTCTTTGTGCTGACAGTATGGGGTTTTTTTTTTTAAAGATTTATTTTTATTATTTTTTTTATTGGAAAGGCGGATATACAGAGAGGAGAGACAGAGAGGAAGATCTTCCGGTCTGATGATTCACTCCCCAATGAGTACAACGGCCAATGCTATGCTGATCCAAATCCAGGAACCTCTTCCGGGTCTCCCTCACAGGTGCGGGGTCCCAAAGCTTTGGGCCATCCTCGACTGCTTTCCCGGGCCACAGGCAGGGAGCTGGAAGGGAAGCGGGGCTGCCGGGATAGAACCAGCGCCCATATGGGATCCCGGGCGTGCAAGGCGAGGACCTTAACCACTGCGCCACCGCGCCGGGCCCAGAATGGGTTGTTTTAATACACACTTTTCCCAATAGTCTATCAGAGCTGACAGCAGAATTAATGCCAACATTGTGGGCTATTGGAGGGTTGTGAGAGGATGAGGCAGTTCGCAGTAAACAGTTCTGAGGACAATGAGACTCTATATTAAGTGCTCTGATCTGTAGACATCTGTTGGAAATGTGGCCTGTGTTGGACTAAAAATTGTCTTCAGGGCAGCCAGATGCAAAGGATTTTTAGTCCATGTTTACAAATATGTAGGTTGGCAATTATGATACATAGTTCCAGAAATTCAGAGAATCTTATTACTCCATTATAAATTACCTTATGTTTGAAATGCATGTGAACTTTGTGGCTGCTTCTAAAGTTAAACTCAATATATATGTAACAAATATGTGCTTGCAAAACTGACAGTTTTGGTAGGTTTTTAAAATCAATATATAAGATTTATTTTTATTATTTTTTATTGGAAAGGCGGATATACAGAGAGGAGAGACAGAGAGGAAGATCTTCCGTCCAATGATTCACTTTGTGAACAGTTGGAAACCACAAAACCAACTTATTCTAAGATGCAGAGATGCCAGCATTCCATCCAAAGTGATGGAATCAATCATAACAGTGGATTTCTCACTAAAAGTGTAAATCTCTAGGTAAGATCCTTCTGTGGAAATGTGTCCTCCCTGTCAGAGACCCCGAAGATGAGAAAACTACACTCGTGTCCCAATAGATAGCCAAGTCAGTGCATTTCACAACCTCCTTGCAAAGGAGCACTGTGTTATATGTACACCTTTAGCTATGGCTGTTTGTCTTCATAAAAATTCACAGGTTCTTTTTTATTGAGAATGTAGCAGTTTGATGACTTAACATAATTAAAATTGTTAACCATATGCCAACTTTAGAGAAGTCTTGCTCTTCAAAGTACAGCAATCTGTTCCTTCCAGATTCCCTTCAGATTTTTTTTTTTAAGATTTATTTATTTTATTGGAAAGTCAGATATACAGAGAGGAAAGACAGAGAGGAAGATCTTCTGTCCAATGATTCACTCCGCAAGTGACCTCAATAGCCGGAGTTCAGCCTATCCAAAGCCAGGAACCAGAAACTTCCTCCAGGTCTCCCATGTGGGTGCAAAGTCCCAGGACTTTGGATTGTCCTTGACCTCTTTCCCAGGCCACAAGCAGGAAGCTGGATGGGAAGTGGGGCTGCTTTGATTAGAACCAGTGCCCATATGGGGTCTCAGCGTGTTCAAGGAGAGGACTTTAGCCACTAGGCCTCTGTGCTGGGTCCTTCCTTCGGATTTTATTACCACAAGTTCTTATTTTGATGTAGAATATGGGACACTACTGTATGCTGATAGTACAAACCACATACTTTTTCTTTCCATGAATATGTTACTCGTTGAAACAAAAAATAGATTTTCATCTTATTTGAAAGGCAAGGAGAGATGGAAATATTCCTTTTGCTGATTCACTCCTGCAATGTCTAGAACAACCAAGGCCGTCAGGCTGGAACCAGGAGTCTAGAACTCCATCCAGATCTGTGTGGGGGCACGAGCCCAAGCTCTGGAGCCACCATCTGCTGCCTTTGGGAATGTGTATTACCAGGGAGCCAGAACTTAAATGAAGCACTCAGACTTCAGGTGGCCCAACTGGTGTCCTAACTCCTTTGTGAAAGGTTTGCTTCTCACTATTTTCTAGTACTGTCCTGATTGGCATACAGTGGATATCACTGAGGACCTGAATTCAAGTAATTTGTAACAAAGAACTCCTGGAGGTCAAATTGGGAATATGAAGTACTTTCCAGCACAATGTTCAGTGTATCTGTTTTTTCCTTTCCTCAAAAAGAACCAAAAAACTCAAACATACAAAACCAGTGAAACAACAAAAAACAAAATCAAACAGGTGTTTGATACGTGAGTAGATGCTGTTCTACTCTAATGCAGTTTAGGTGATTAGCAACTCAATTTCTGACACCCTTGAACTGTTTTTCTGCTGAAAAAAAAGAAAGGAGCAGTTGTGTGATGTCGAGACTGCTTGAAGTTGCTTCTTCCCTGCCTAGTCACAGGAAAAGTGAGAACAAAAACAAAATGGTGACAAATATTCAAAGAGATCTTTGATGTTCTTTCCATGGTATTCAATATCATGGTATTGTTATTGGGAGAAAATTCTGCTAGGATTAGTCATCTTCTGAGCAGGTTTATTAAACCAAAGGAGAGGGCTCGGTGTGGTGGCCTAGAGGCTAAAGTCCTCTCCTTGAACACGCTGGGACCCCGTATGGGTGCTGGTTCTAATCCTGTAGTCCCACTTCCCATCCAGCTCCCTGCCTGTGGCCTGGGAAAGCAGTCAAGGACGGCCCAAAACCTTGTGACCCTCACCCACATGGGAGACCTGGAGGAAGTTCCTGGATCCAGGCTTCAGATCAGCTCAGCTCCAGCTGTTGCAGTCTCTTGGGGAGTGAATCATCAGACGGAAGATCTTCCTCTCTGTCTTTCCTCCTCTGTAAGTCTGACTTTCCAATAAAAATAAAGAAATCTTAAAAAAAAAAAATAGCAAAGGAGAATGTTCACCAAATGATTTTAAGCTCTGGCTTCATGCCATATAAAGGAACTCCCCATTGCTCACAGCAGAAAGGCCAGTTCTGTTTTTTGACTTTTCAAAAGAAACTATGACTTATGTTGCGTTTTTGAGAGGGAGGAGGAGTCCTTTCAAATTCTTAGGCACGATATTCAGTCTGAAGGCCAAGGAATGTAGTTTCCTGATGTGATACTGAATAAAGATTCTCATCTTTTGGGGCCAAAACACAAATGTGAGAGCAGTGAATTTCCCCTCGTGTGCCAATAAAGCCAGAACCAAGATTATGTTGAAGAATACTTCACGGCCAACAAACTCCTGTGGGCCAGGAAAGGGGCACTGACTGGGTCATCCTCATAAGGATCATGAACAGGAATTTTGGAGACAGGCAGTTAGTCCATTCAGCCTCCAGGCTGTTGGTGAAGCAATGAAATGGATTACACAAGATAAGCTGGCAGCTTTTATGTGCCTTACAAAACTAATCAGCTAATGCCATAGAAACTTATGTATTGCTTATTAGGTTCTGTTCCCCTGGAATTTTCATTCTGTGATTTTTAATGTGTAAATTCTGAAACAATGAAAATCTTGCTTTGATAATTTGTATGTATTCCACTTCCAGTGTTTTAACAGAAGACAGCAGGCATTAAATTATGAAACAACACTGTCATATACATTATACCCAATCTAGGAAATGGAATGTATGAATTCGTTCTTAATTCATACACGGCACCCGGTCAGAGATAATTCTATCAACACTATTTTCTCCCCTAATCTTTTTTTTTTTTTTTTTTGATATCTTTACATAGTTTATTAGGGCACAAAGGGTCAGGGGCTACAAGAAAGCAGGTAAGACCATTGTATCCACACTAATATCATTTTTTTTTTTCTGTATATGGGGGTAAGAGGAGAAACAAAGGGAGAAGCCCCACCCAGCTTCCCACCCATCCCAGATCCCCCAAGTGGGGCATGCTCCGAGGGTCCTGCTTAAGCAATTTTGATGGTTCAACAGTTCTGAATTGCTGTTGGTCTAGCTGGTCCAAGCACGATGAAATCTCTTCAGAATCTTCTAGCTACATAGTCATAGACTACATAGTCTCTTCATAGTTGGGATTCTGAGATTAGCAGTTCTGTTGGAGGGATCTCCAAAGAAACTTCGACCTGATTCCTGTGTGTGCTTGCCAGTACAGGGTCTGGCAGCCTCCGTCGCCCTAGTCAACTTATGCACATGCTGGTCATTGCAATTGCTGGGTCAGTTCTGTTTCCAGCCCTGTCTTCCACATGAACTGATGGGTGTTGCGACCCACAATACCTCCCACCAGGCCCGCTCTCTGCCCTGGTTCCCGTGCTTGTCAGTATGTGCAGCAGACTAGTCCAGTCTGTCCCACATCCCATTCACCTCTTGTAATGTAGTGGGTATTGAAGCCTAGTTCAACCCAACCAGTCCTACTCTCCAGCCCACACACATACTGGAGGGATCCCCTCTGGCTAGCCACCCCCGCCCCAGTCATGGTTTTCATGCCTTCCAGTGGGAGTGGTGACCCAAGAGGGAGGTGCCCACTATTTCCCTACTATGCCACTCTCCGGGTGTCTCCCCTAACCTTTAACTGTTATTTTTAATAATTTTTCTTTGGAAGTGAATTGGTTTCTAAGTACTCCTTAATTCAACTTTACCTCAGGATGTCTATTCAAAATATCTGGCGTGGCAGTTAAATTTTGGCAAACAGGACAAATAACTAGATCCTTGAAGTTTCCCTAAGTAGAGAGGAAGACACATCTTTTCTGTTGAAACCAGATGGAAATATTTTAGACTGTGGAGGTTAATACTAAACTAAGGACAATTTTGTATTTCTAGTAGAGGAAATGAAATTTCCACAAAATTTTTATTTATTTATTTATTATTATTTTTTTATTATTAAAGCTTTGGGCCGTCCTTGACTGCTTTCCCAGGCCACAAGCAGGGAGCTAGATGGGAAGTGGAGCTGCCGGGACTAGAACTGGCTCTTATATGGGATTCTGGGCGCGTTCAAGGCAAGGACTTTTGCCTCTAGGCCACGGTGCTGGGCCCCACAAAATTTTTATTTTCAAACTTGAAAACACAATTGCCTTTGGCAGGGAGAGTACTACCCAGCTCAACTAATGAGGCAAATGGAAATTGGGGACAGAACATCTTGGTCAAGGTTAGTATTGCCTGTTCATCAAAACTTACTGAAGAAGTTCATATATTAGTGTTGGTAAGTAATTAATTTCATCTCTGTAAGTTTTTAGGATACAAGTAGCTCTATATCCTGCCCACACCATCTGCCATAGAAGATTTTTACTTAGGCATGTTCATCTTGTCTAAGACATTTACTGAACTCCATTAGTGTTTTGTTAGTATAAAATGCCTGTAAGCATGTCCTTTCCATTGCAGATTCATTTCTGATAGATTGAAACAGCTTTTTGGTTGCAGTTAAGCTTTTTTAAAAGATTTATTTATTTTTATTGGAAAGTCAGATATACAGAGAAGAGGAGAGACGAAAAGGAAGATCTTCCCTCTGATGATTCACTCCCCAAGTGATCACAACAGCCAGAACTGAGCCAGTTGTAATGCACAAGCCAGGAACTTCCTCCAGGTCTCCCATGTGGGTGCAGGGTCCCAAGGCTTTGGGCCTTTCTTGACTGCTTTCCCAGGCCACAAGCAGGGAGCTGGATGGGAAGTGGGGCTGTCAGGATTAGAACCAGCGCCCAAATGGGATCCCGGAGCGTGTTCAAAGCTAGTATTTTAGCCTCTAGGTCACTGTGCGCCCCTCCCTTTTTTTAAAGATTTATTTATTTCTGTTGTAAAGGCAGACATACAGAGGAGAGACAGAGAGGAAGCTCTTCCATGTGATGGTTCACTCCCCAAGTTAAAATCTAACGTATTTTGCACTTCATCATGATTCAAAATTACTAAGGAACTGCAGGGAAATATATTTATTGAAATTATGTGGAAAGAATGGCTGTTTTTGACAGTATAGAAAAGCAGTTTGCATAATAGTATGACAGTCTTTTGATTAAGATGTTAGTTTTTGTTGAAATGGTTTTATCACAGTGTGTTGTTTTGCCTTGTAATTTTAAGAAATGTATATTAAAAAACGTTATCTAGGATGCAGCACAAGTTATCTTGTAAAGCTACTCAGTGTTTGCAGGGGATTCAGAAAACTTTCACTGCTGGTTTTCAGCTCAACAAAACACAGTAATATTTTACTACTGCTAACAGTTGTGGAGTCTGTCAAATCAAGATAATCAGCTGTTTCTCACAAAAATTCAAGGAACTAACAATTTTTTTTTTTTGACATTTTGACCATAGCTATTCAAAGGACAAGTTAATAAAGCCAGATTCTTGAGTCATTTCAAACTCAGCATTGATTTCTCAAATAATGGGACCTGGCAGCATTGGTAACAACCAAGTCAGTACGATCCAAAGAAAAGCAGTTAGGATCATGGTTGTTCCAGTTCCTCTACTCTTAAGTGAACCATTCTTACCAAAAAACCTCATAATCTTTTATTGTCTGGGCATGTTTCTTTGGACTACCACACTCATCTGTAACTCATCAGTAAATGGCTTTCTTTGCTATCACATTGCTAACTGATACATGTAAGTTTGTATACAGCCTCAACTCCAATTTTCATTATGCTGTGATAGTTCACGATAGATTTCCTAGTTCTTCAGAGTTTTGCTTCCTTATGACTTGGGGACATAATTAATGAGTATTTACTATGGTAATATCTGGATTTTTTGAGGCAGTAATAGTATCACTGCAAAAGAAAAATCACTGCCCTAACATACCGTAGGAGCACAACTAAGTCACTTCTCGTTTTGATGTAATGGCATGAATTGATAACAACAAATGTGCTGTAGCATGACATGTAACATTCCAAATGTTTTATGAGTCTGTGTGCATCACTGTGTTGTCACTGGCCAAGGAGAAATGCGAAATGAACCTGTCAGTTTCTTACTGTAGCAACAGTATGTAACAGATGTGCCTGCCATCCAGTAAAATTTCTATTTAGACACTAAAATTAATTTCATACAATCTTTCCAGAATTGTGTTGATTTTCCCCTCCAATTCTCAGCTCTTTGGCTACACTGAAAAAATTATCAAATATCTTAGATCTAAAACCTAGATTTTGTACTTCTGTAAAAGCTATAAAATCTGTTACTTTCAGGGAAGGAAAAATTTATACAAAAAATGAAACTGAAAATGTTTGGCTACTGGGAAAGACAATCAGGCAATCTTCACAATCTTTTTTTTTCAAAAATGTAAACATGAAGCAAACAAAAAAATCATAAACTAGAAAGAAAAACAAGTCAATCATTGATTATGTAGTTGAAGTGTTCATAAAGAGCACTGTTGGGATGCAATGTCCTAAGTTCAAACTGATTTTTCAACAACAAAAAAATGCTCACCCAAAATTAATGAAGCTCCTGGTTCTGTTCAGTGGCTCAAATTAGAAGAACAAAACTAACAAGTCCTCCAAATACCCATTTCTAAAAAAAATCACCACTCATCAACCATAATGTAAGAAAACATTTCTGAAGCCTTTATTTACAAAAGCTTTAAAAACAAATAATACCCTCTATTTTGCAAATCACGTTTTGTTTAAAAAGGACCACCCAGTTACAGTATTATAGTATCAGGATAAAGACCGTACAGGGGAGAACCGCTGTGGCTAACATTTGGAGATTCGCTAATGTTACTGACTGAAGTGCGGATGGCACACATTATAACTTGGAGTCCATCATCTCAAGGTAGAGTTAATGATTACCAAAAAGTCTTCCTGCACATGCTCCGGTCTGGTCACACATTCTGCATGGCTAAATATTTCACAGTCTCCTTTTGTCAAAATATATAAAATAGATTGCAAAGATATACACAAAAAAATAAACAAGCATTACACTCCTCAGGTAGTTTTATTAGTTATACATTTATGTATATATATATATATTTGTGTTTTGTTTTGCACCAAATTTTTCCATTATTTAACTTTGTAGGAACTATGAAAGCACAATTTTTTCTTTTTGATATAAAATATACCTAAAGACTTGTTTCTTTGGACTTTAAATGAAATTGATTTGTGTAACTACAAATCAAGGATACTATAAGTATGGTTATAAATAAAAACTAAGAGTAAACAGTGATGTAATAATAAACAGATCAAGGGAAATGTGCTATCATAAAGCAAACTGCATCTTCAATGTTGAAATCCAGTTTCCCGGAAAATACTAAATGTCCAATCACAAGGGATTTTTCCTGAAGGGTGTAAAGCTGGTTTGAAAATTCTTCAGTCACAGAGCAGCCTACATAAGCCAATTAGAAACTGACAGACAGCAGATGTGCTTGGAAGATTAAACACTACATACAGAAGAAACAGCAGTTATTAAGCTCCTCAGTGTTTCCTTGTCTTTTTTGTTAGTCTTGCTTAATCAATTTGCACAAAAAAAGTGGTGTACTTTGTGGTGCAAAAACAAGTAAATATTGTATAAATTGGCAGATGGTCATATTCCCACCTAAGAGCAAGAAAAACCAAAATTTCTGATGAAACACAGGATTTGGGTCAGAATCACTCTCTAAAGTGCAAAATTGATGGTCCACAATCTCAAATAGCTAAAACTCCTGTAGAACGGAGGGGAGATATGAAACAGGGAAATAAATTACAGTCAGTGCTAGTTAATTCAGGAAAAGGGAAAAACAAATCGTAAGTTGGTAAAGTTTATCAAAATATTCAGTATAATGTAGCTTTCCCCACACTGTCACACGCTTGCTAGCAAGTGTATTAAATTAAGGCCAAATTTAACCTGAATGCATTTCTATTTATTGAGATCTTAGGAATGGTCATATTTAGTACTGAAAGACAGGAAATAAAATGGGCTATGAAAGGGGGTAAAGTGTCTTCTATTGTTCAGGGGATTCAACCAGAGATTAAAACCTATATACAAGCATGTGTGTAGCTCAAATAAAATAAAAGGACTATTTCTTGTCATGACTGCTTGTTGGCTTCCTCTTCATATGCATTCCCTGTGCCGTTCTGTACATAGGATGAACCAGAACCAAGGCCATACAAATGACCACAATATTTGGCATCATCAATATGATCTTCAAAGAACATCTAAAAAAGAATTTTGAAGAAAAAAAAGATAATTTTAACAAAAAAGTGCCATTAGTAACTTATTTTCCAACAATGTAAGTATCTGACTGTTCATCAACTTCAATGATGCGCTTTTCTATGGTTTTCCTTTGAGACCACATGTTTTAGTTAAATGAATGATACTGATATCCCTCAAGAACTGGGCTCAAAAGAAACCAAAGAGAATATTAATGAAAATGTCTAAGTGCATGTCTTTCCCATTAACATTCACACTACTTTTATCATAATTTGTAAGCAATAAAAACTAGGCAGGTTAATTCTGTTAATTTAGTATTTTTAAATACCTGAAGGACTGAAAACAGCCACTGATGGAGATTAAAAACAACTAGGTTTATAAATTGCCTTGTATATCTGCAAGGCTGAAAGAGCTGAAAATAAACTCCAAATGTATCATAGACAATTAAATCTCATCATTTCCCCTTAGTCTTTGAAGAAACCGGAAAAAAACATAACACTTCAGTGTCGGAAACCCATTATTATTTAAACCAGGAAGGCATCTTTCAAAGGTAAAGCTGAAAACTCCTAAGAACTTTAAACAAAATATTTAATTATGAATGTACAGTCAGATCACTACTGAACCAATAGTTAGCAGAACAGCTTTGCTGCTTTCTATTAGTGACACTCTTTCACAAAAGCTCTAACTTTCCAACCTCAGTTAATTGCTTAATGTGAAAGAGGATATGTTCTAAATAAGTTGGTAGCAAATCTTTTGCAGAAAAGTTTGTCCTATTTTGTTTCTGTGTAAGTTTCCTCTTATGCTTACCTAATAGGCTTGGATTTGTTAAATTGTATTCTGCCCTGTGCAATGTTTATACTTGATGAACTCATCTCTCTTGTCACTTAAGGAGGATCCTCTCAAAATGATTATGATTCAGTTATGTTAGTGATTTAACCCTTTTATAATTCAAAATCCCTAAGTAAGAATCTAGTAAAATGTATGTGTGAGTCCTACTCTATACAATCTTGAAAGCAGTCAAGAATAAACTAATAGTATTTTTACCACCAGCTTAAAGCTTAGAAAACTACAGTAGGGGGAACCTAATACATGCACTCCTGAAGGTGAGTGAAGCAGCAAGCGTAAGTCTACTGAAATACTTCCAGAGTGCTCTCACTGGCATTAAGTTTGATTTTAGATAAAAGTTACTAGCCTCTGGCCTGGTTTCTCAGCTAAGAATACTGTTCGATCCACAGGATTTCTAATGTAGTTTAAATATTTTTATCTATGAATAACTTACTCCTTGACTGCTTTCTGAATGAAATTTTAAGATGGTTTCGTTTGAAGTATGCCCGACATGGCACCTCTAAATTACATCTTCACTTAGTAGGTACTTATTCCCCAAACCTTCTGCCATAAAATTTTTAATGTTCTCAAGCTAACAACAAATTGAGAAAAAAGTACTGATGTCTTCATACTTCTCTCATTTTGAAAAAGGCCATTCCTGTGAGCAATGAATCAGATCCTGCCTGATGCTGTGGTCCTATCCGTTCCAGCTCTAACTGTTCAGCAACTTCTTGCAATCCACCCTAGGAAAAAATGCAAGCACTTGTTAGAGAGATGTACTGCCACTGCAAACTCAGGCACTGGCCAAATTATGAATGAACTTTATTATGTAAATACAAGCCTTATGAAGATTGGGGGGAGGTGGAGGGAGAATACAAATAAGTAATGTATTCATATTTTGAGATAAGTTCATAATTTAATGGGAAATTAGGTACTAAGTGGGAAAATCAAGTTTCTGATATTTAAAATGATAGGAGAAATTTTCCTAAACATACAGGTAAGCTCATTATACACAGGGTAACATGTATCAAGCACTCATACTTTAATAATCCACCAATCATTATAAAGCTGAATAGCTGGTATTGGTTGTTTTTCCAATTTTCTTCCCACTAACCTATAAGTAGTTTTTATCTAAGTAACTTTTACAAACAGGCATTACTGTTAATCAAGGCATTCATTTAATGCTTAATCATGATTTTTGCTTGCTAAAATATGTTAAAAGCATTCAATTCTTCAGCATGGTCTTCTATAAAGTATTCCAATACTACCAGGATTAAACCCTGCTTTCACTGAAAAAAACAAACAAGGAAAAATGTATAATCCTAATTAAGCGGAGAACAAATTCTTTGACATTACTGAATTTGAGTATATCCGCACATCATCTGATTTTAACGTGCATGATCAGAATAATGCATGTGTTGAAAGAGTTTATAATTGCATTTCTGTGTCTAAGTCTTTCTCACTAGTACCCAATTATATTCTGGCTCATGATTTTCAATTTGGCAAACGATAAAATACATCACCCCCATCTTGAATCATGTTGCAAGCTTATTCTGCTGCAATAATGAGAGTATTTTATAAAGGAATTTAAAGGCAAACTACTTAAGCGATGGAGAATCATATGATGAAAGATTATAACTGCATTTAATATAAAAGTTAAAATGTTTTCACACAGTATCTGAGCCTAAGCATTCAAGTTAGTCATTAAATCTGCAATAGTCAGCTGACTGCAAATAATGACACCGAACGCCGTACCTTGAGATTTTTGCAGCTCTTCATGAGGTACTTCACGTCATAAATGACAGGAAAAAACAACCGAAGGATCTCAAAGAAGTCAAGTTCTTCTTCAGGCAAATTAGAGTTTGTCAGGATTTTTATTAAATAGCCAAAGTCATAACCGCTACATAAGGGATGAAAAAACATAGGAGAGATGAAAAAAAAAAATGCTGGTGATAAATTTTAAGCCTGTTACACTATGGGACAAAAGGGATCAATTCCCAGTTTGTTACACACCAATTTTACCCTGCCCCCAAGAATATTTCCATCTGTAATGGGAAAATACCATCAAGTTAGACACTGCTAATGACTTTACTATTATTTTACCAGAGATACCAATATATAGACTCATACAGTTAACCCAAGCCTGCAGTCCTTTCAAGTACTCTTGGTACTGTCTGAACAGAAGCACTGTCCACAGATGTGCTTCAACCACAAATTTAACTATGGAAATACAGAAGAAAAGTTAAATGGAAATTTATCCAAGAATATTTAAAAATGTATCAAGAGAGTGGTATTTGTAGTAAATGAATCCCTAACAAAGTAATGTCACCTTTTTTAAATGACCAAACAGGTACCTTTTCTTTCCTTGTAAGTCTGTTCCAGCTTTAGAATGGCCTTTAAATATTCTTTATTCCCATCAGAATATCACTTCTCTGAGCACAAGGACTGTATTCTGTTTTGTTCACAGCTTAATTCCTAGACTCTTATAGTCCCTGACATAATCTTTAAAAATGACAAAATCAGACAGCAGTGGATGCTACTGAGGAAAAAGACAGCTAGCAGAATTCTAGAGATCATGTTTTAAAAACCAAACCAAACCATGGGAGGGGTGGGGGGAATCCCCAGCGCCTATAAAACTGTACTACATAATACAATAATAAAAAAAAAAAAAAAAACCAAACCAAACCAAACAGGATGATAGGGAAGGGCATGTCTTAGAAGAATTATTTCTGAACTCATTTCAATGACCAATAACATGCATAAAGTATTTTATAAAGTGCTTAACAAAAAGTGGATTCTCCAGAAGTGATAGTTTTTACTTCATTTTTATTACAAAAATTAGACAATGTTAAAGAGAATTTCTAGAAGGAAATTATTTTCCTGTGTAAATAAGCTTTATTGGCAATCCAGGAATTGAAAGTGACTTTGGGAGTGATGTTATTTAACCTTTTGTTTTTAAAGAAAGCATTGTTAATGCTTTTATAGCTGATACCTTCACACAACTATTTTACACAAACTTTTTGCATGCTTTGATTTTCTACCCTGACCTGTAGAATGACTTTCATGATGGACTGTTCATGTTGTAGACTCTGATGTAATACTAAGTAGTGATTTTTCAGTTGGAGGTACTGGATGAACTAATTCTCACCATCTTTCTCCTGTGCGATCCACTTGAACCTGTACCTCAGGAGAAAAGACTTGAGCCTCTTTAGGGTTTTTTTTTTTTTAATAAATTCTTTTCTTTAACTATTCCTATCAGGGTATGAGAAAAAGAGAACTGGGAGATACACTCTTTCATAAATAATATATACATCAACCAATTATTATGTGCTTTTAAAAAAATGAATAGTTTCCTTGATACAAACGTTAAAACTAAGACTCAGAAATGTTAAGTAACCACAGGTAACAATTACAATCATCCCTGTTGGATTTTTACATTAGTATCTTTCCATTTTTCCACCCTGTTCTGTTTCCACTATGCAGCAAGGCTTCCCACAGGTTAAAATGGATCCCATAATATTAAATTACCTTTAAGTACAAACAGATACTCAGTAAGAGCCAGAAGATAACTATTTAGCAGTCAATTCTTCTGAAAACTAAGCCTGAAACTGCTGACACAGAAACAAAGGCAGTGTCAACCACCATTTTTAATGCTATCTTTTTACCTATGAAATGATAGCCATTTGACCCCTTCACAAAGGACCACTCCGGAAGTCATTAGAAGTTCTGCAAAGTACTGGGTCTCAATTCCTTCCTCTTCATGTTTTTTAAATTGGATACCAGATGTTGTTAGCAGCTCTATTGAGTCCTGGGCATACATGTCCTCCCTGGCAGAATAAAGAGATAGACAACATTCAAAAACACCATTACTTCATTTATTTTCTTGAGGACATCTACAACTACAATACCAAAAACAAGACAGGATTGGTTGGGGGTGGCCAATTGTTCAAATATGGCCAACACATAAGGGTCATTATTTTAAAAAGACGTCCACACAATAAATAAATGTTCAATGGTAAGAATCTAATCTTTACTTCATTTCTTTCACCTTTCTTATATTCAAGAAAAACAGTCTTCTATTTACAGGCTACCACAACAGTGTGGCAAGCTCTTTCAGGAGCTATCAATCTCAGTAGTCATTTTAAAGTGGTCAGATGGCCATGAGCCTTACAGTAGGCCTTCTCCCATTCTTTCAGCCACATCAGGAAAAGCAGCTGGAGGCCATTGCAGGTGGCTGTGTTAAGCCACATTCTCCTTCAAAGAAAAAGGAGATGCATCCTCGACTCTCATAAAGAATGGGGCTTTCATGTGGTTCCAGTTTAGGACTGAAATGGCTAAGGGCTCTGCTAGAAAGCGGTAATTTCTTTTTCCAACCATTCTAATCCCAAAATTGCTTTCCAGAATTAAGCGAGGTAATTTAAGATCCTTTAAGATTTCACTTAAGCCAGTAAGAAAAGAATCTTTACAATTCTCAAGTATAAACACAAAGGTTTCCAAATAAAATCACAGCACATTTTACCACGTTTGAAATTCTGAAGAATACGTTAAACTTAATAAAATGGAAAGTCAAGTGAAAATATGCAGTTATAGGCTAGACTACTATATGCCCAGCACCCTCTGAATTCAGCAGCTCTGATTTCATTCATCATGTATATCAAACAGCAATCAACAAGGAATAGAAGCAAAGAATTCTACCATCATATGGTACTACCATTACTTGTGATACAGTTTCATTTACCACTTCAAATCATGTTTAGAGCATACTACACAGATATGGATCGCCAAAACAAGATATCACAATACAGCAACATACTTAGACTACATTAAACTTTTTATTTGCTGACAATCAGATTTTACCTCCAAACACTAAACTGCTATCAGTTATCAACTATTTTACCAATGATAAGTAACAATATGTAATTAAGCAAATAGGGTTTAGATCAGGCTTCATTCAGATTCTACTATATTAAAAAACACCAGAGATTTTTATAGGCTGATATAGGAGTAATGACGATTTGAAAGGAAAATACATCCAAGTTTCCAATAAATGTTTTATTGTACTTAATATGCAACTTACTCAAACTAAAATATGACCAGCGCTAAGGCGTAATTAAGCTCCCACCTGCAGTGCCAGCATCCCATTTGGGTGCCAGTTTGAGTCCCAGTTCCTCCACTTCCAATATCCAGCTCCTTGCTAATGTGCCTGGGAAGGCAGAAGATGGTCTGAATGCTTAGGCCCTTGCATGCATGTGGGAGATGTACATGAAATGCCTGGCTTCACTCTGAGCCAGCCCTGGTTGTTTGGCCATTTGGAGATTAAACTAGCTGATGGAAGAGCGCTGTCTCTTTCTCTGCCCCTCTTTCTCTGAAATTCTGCCTTTCAAATAAATGAATTAAAAAAAAAAAAACAAAGAACATACATATATAAAGTCTCTTCACAGAAAAAAATTAAAAGTGCATATTTAAATCTGTTTACAGAAAGTTTGAAAGTGAAAATAGTGCTATAATACTGTTTTTCTATCAAGAAGTATCAATAATTTTCTAGGTTAAAAAACAAGTGACATTTAAATTTTAAGAATACCACTTAGGAAAACCAAACTGTTTGATTTTAAACATCTTCCTTACACTAATATTTTTCTTTCATAATGAAAACACTTCTAGGTTTGAAATCTTTCAACTGATGTATTTCAACGACAATAAACCAAATCCATTTAGAATTTCGCCATAGTTACATGAAAAAGTTCAAGTTATACATTTATTTCCTACTTACGTCAAATTAAATTTAAAATTAAACTGCCAAGTTGAAGTTCCTGGCGGGTATTCTCCTTGCTCATTCATAAAGGTCAGTCCTAGCTGAATTATCTTTAGCAAGTCTACGTTACACCGCAGCAGTTGGTACTGATAGTCAGCATTGCTCCTGAATTCACCAATAGGTCTTGCAACCACACCTGGAAACTCGGTGTCCTGTAAAATGATTTAAAAACTCATTATTTACTAAAATGGTCACAACCACAGTCCACAAATTCCTACAATAATTTTCTATTCATGTCAAAGAATTTCATTGCAGATGATATTACATATGTTCAAATTCAACTACAAAGTACCTTTTAACAAGGATGTCCGTTAACTATTAGAACCAAAAACTAGCCAAAATCAAACTGCTTGAAGAACTGGTTAGAAAATGGAAAACGTATTTTCCAGTTGAGCTGTAAGACAAGATTTCATCTCAACATCAAAATCATTACAAGCATTGCAAGCCTTCTAATTATTTGGCTAACAGAGTATTCTCTAATCCACAGACAGCATGTTGTCTAGGTCTGCTAGCCACCCACTCAATGCTGTAGGAAGCTGCTGTGCCTTCTTTAAGTCTTGCTGACCTTACCATCTGAGAAAGGTGATCACCTCTAACGACTTTAACTGTAGTTATGGACAGGCATAACTTTGTTAAACAGAATGCTATCCATAAATAAATATTCATACTTCAGTGATCAATCTGTTCCTCACCAAGGAAGCCTATTTTTTTCATCTACAGTCATGTAATTAATTTCAGTCAACAACAGACCACAGAATACCATATTGGTCCCAAAAGATCACATCACCTGATGATGTAGCTCAGTTAGTTTGTCTATATACTCTATGATGTTTCCACAACACCAAAACTGCTTTAACAACACATTCAGAACACATCTGTTAAGTGACATGGGGCTAGAGAAAATGACACAAGGGATTATTATCAAGACTCAAACTAACGCTGGCTAAAAACAAAAACTAAATATCAGGTCACTGTGAAACCAAAGAAATTAAAGCTCCTCTAAATTCAACCCAACTAAAACTACTTTATTGGATAGTGTGTGTGTTGATAGGTTTTGAGGGGACAAAGATGAAAAGACCAACACCCTACTTTACAGAGCTAATAGCCTAGAGGATCCAAAAAAGTAGAGCAGCTTTAACAGATACACAAAATAGTAAAGAAAACAATGGGATGCTTAACAACAAAATGTGTTCCTGGAACTCCACTGATGATACCAGTAAAGCTGCAGACGGTATCTCACTGGGAGATCTGATATTTATGTTTGAGAAGCTATCCAGAACTCAACTGGTATCACTAGCTGGCTCTTAGTGTTTCTAGAAGCTGCCTGGCCCCTATAAGATAGGTCCTAACAGTCTCCTGCTGAAAACACAATTTCCTACAACTCCAGTACCAGGCGGGGCTACTTCATAATCGCATCCTAATTAGCAAAATGAGCAAAGATCCTCTATTTTGACTAAATGAATGATGGCTACATTTTCTACAGCTTTTGACTTGCTCTAGTCCTCTCTCCATCCAGGTAAGACTGAAGATACCAAATGACTGAATCACCCTGTCCTTCCAAACAATCACTTGGTCTTGTCCCATGGCTTATAATAAAATTTCTCTCAACACACTGAATAATAGACCAAACTTGTCAAATTACAAATATGTTCCTTTGGTTTTTGGCTGGAGTATATTCAATCAACCACAAGAGCTTAATTCAATACTTTCAGATTCCTCCTTTATGACAATTTTGAAGATGTGAGTCAAGGACATACCATAGCAACGTAATTATACTTCCGGATAACTTGACGAATTTTCTTCATCTCTTCATCCAGGTTGCAAGCCCAAACTTCACAAATTCTTTGGCTATTATCTACAGTTGCTGCTGGCATAGTGAGGGCACAAGAGTCTAGATGCCAAGCATCAAAATGTTACACTTGATTGAAGATTTGTTTCATAAAATACTTTATCCTTTATTTATGTACCTGTCAAAATTTAAAAAAAAAAAAAAAAAGCTGTATCAGAAATCTGAATCAGGGTAACTGACCTGACAGAAATCTTAAAACGTATGTATTCAAAATCCAGATTTCATTATAAAATCAAGGTTTAAGCACTGACTTGTTTGAAGTGACACAACTGACGGATAAGAAAAAAAGAAAAAACAATTTCCTGTCCTAATTTTAGAGTTTCAGAAGTGTTTGTTAATGTATATATTAATGATTGTTCTGGATTCAGTTCACCTTTTGCATAAAACATCACGAAACGACCCATTTCTGAGTAAACATGAAAAATCAGTTATACACGTGTCACGAAATCAGCTGCTACCGTGACAGGGTGTTTCATTTCACTCCTCACTCACAAAACACTCAAAATTTGACTTCCTGACAATAATCTGCCTTATGGGCATATCTTCAAGTCATATTGGAAAAGACAATAGCAAAGACAATTTTTAAGAAAATGTTGTGGGGAAAAACATACATACAGCTGTGGAAACTGAATGTCTCTGAAGAAAGAAAGCAACAGAATGTGTGTCTAGAAATCGTTTCTTTATAATCTCTTAGAAACGGACATTTTTCCTGGTTCTCAGAGACAGATCTCAGGCTGCGGCCCATCAACAGAGCTCACAGTACAGAATGACCAGATTAACATATCCACTGCCCGTCCACTGTCCACACTCACGTGAAATAAAAAAAAAAAAAAGCAAAATGTAAGAAAAGGGTCCTGTGTTGCCCTCTTTAAAAAGTCTCACAAGTTACAGCTACCGTAAGCACAGGAACCAAAGTCGACTGGGGGCAGCCCCCCCAGACCGTGCCCCCCACCCCGGTTACTGGAACAGGGTCTTCTTCCCTCCACCCCCTCTACCGCGTGTCCAGAAGCACCACACGAAACCCAACACCTTCCAACTGAAGTGGCATTTCCGTGCTCAACTTTCCCACAGAAACACGCGGAGACATTCACATCACAGACAACGCTCTTCACCGGCGCAGAACCGAGGTGCCGAGAAGCCGGGACTCCCCGACACAGCTCTGAGGCAAGGGTCGTGAGGAGATCCAGGCCACCGCCCTCCACTCCCAATTTCCGTCCCACATCGAAGCCCCAGGTACAAAGCCTCGGCGTCATCACTGCGCGCCTCCCTCTTGACATCCCCCTCCCCGCCCCCACGGGCCGCGGAGCGCTTCCCTCCGCCTCAGGCATCCCGGCCGGCGCCATCGCGCACCCGCTCCGCATCATGGCTCCCGCCCCCTGCCCACTTCCCCGACATCACCCTCCCCGCCCCCTCAGGCCTGCGACGGACGCCAAGATCTACTTGCGTCGCTGAGCTCGCGCTCCACCTCCTCCTCCTCGCCATAGAGACAGCACCCGGCGGCAGTGGCGGCGGCGGTAGCGGTGGCGGCGGCAGCGGGTGCCCCATAGACACCTCTCGCCCGGCCAGGGGGAAAGGGGAGCCGGAGCTGCGCCGCACCGCGATGCGCCGTCGCTTCTCTCACGTCCTCCCGGGGGCGCTACCTGATGACGCCACACGCCGGTGGGGGAGGTGGCGGCGGCGCGCGGGCCGGGGCGGGGTGCGCCGCTGACGGAGGCTGGAGTGGCGGAAAGCTGCGCGCTCCGACGGCCTGAGTGACTTGGTGGCTGGCCTGGGTGCCGGGGCTGCCTGGAGTGGGACTGCCCGTCAGGGGCGGCACTTTGCCCCTCTCTGCAGCTCCCCGCAGTTAAAAACACACCGCGGGGACTGCGAACCGGGCTGTGCTTGGAGGAGACGCGGCCTGTCAGCACGCTCGGTCCCCCCGGGCGTCCTCCTGGGTCTGCCCCTGGGTCGCTGCTGAGAAGGACCGGGCTGAGCAGCTAGGAGAAGCAGGCCGGAGCCTTGTCGGGCTCCCCGGGCCCAGGGATCCGAGGAGGATGAGCTGGCTCTTTCCCCTGAGCAAGAGCGCCTCCTCGTCCGCTGCCGGCTCTCCCGGGGGCCTCACCAGCCTCCAGCAGCAGAAGCAGCGCTTGATCGAGTCCCTGCGGAACTCACACTCCAGGTGACTGACCGGCGGGCGGCTGCCTCAGGGACCCGGGGAGAAAGGAGGGCGGCAGGGCGGGGGAGTGCCAGCCGTCTCGGGGCTCCGCTGGCTTCGGGTCGGGCCGGCTGCCTTCCTCCGGGTCTCGCACTCGCTTGTCCCCTTCCTGCCCCGTGCCGACCATCCTCCTCCGTCCCCTCCCCACCGCCCTGCTGGGCTAATTCTCGTCTGCCCATCCGCCACTGACAGCCGGCTGCTGACCCTAATCGCTCTTAAGGTAGAGCCGGTATATCTTGCTCCTCCGGGTTTCCTCGCTTAGCCCTTCCCCCAGCGCACCTGATGGCCGCGTGGATTGATAACTTGGATAAAGAGAATTTGCAAAGAATGATCTACGAGTTTTACAAGGAGAGGGAAAAGGAGCGTGGGAAAAAAAAAAACGGGAGGTAGGCGGCAGGGCTTTTTGGTCAGTGAATTCTTCCTGTCAGATTGAGATAGTTCTCTTAGTCTATTTAAGATTTACCCTGTTTCCACGACTTCCTGTCGTGTCACAGCTATTCACATGTCTTTATGATGTTTTGTCCCCGTTCTCAGGAATTGGCTCCTAATCACCTAGATTGTTCTGTTGTCTTCCTATGAGGTTTTCATTTTGTCATGGTCAGGAGAAATAGTGTGCCATTCAAGTTATTTCACCTGTTTTTTTGTAAGCGGATTTGCTACAGCCTCTCCTAAATTGAAAATGCCTGTGGTCTCACATGGTTTTTCAAAAAAGTAGAACTCCTTTGTATTCTGTTTTGCATTCGTCTTAAGAGTTTCACAGCGTGTGTTTCAGGTACAGAGACAGCTAGGTAAGAGTCTTAGCCCTTTTAAAAACATCTCCCCACGATACATTCAAAATGCATGTTCTGAAGTCAAGTTGAATATTTCCACCGAACAGACCGCTAGAGGCCATTTGTTTCGCTTTAGTCATGTTCTCTAAATAAGTAGGTTATAATCTAGAGTAGTTTTAGGCGTATTATTAAAAGAAAAATTCTCTTTAAAGTCATTTTGCTAAAATGCAGCCTGGTACTGATTGAACTTTAGGGGTTTGTGTGTGAGTGCTTTTGCACTTTTTAGGACTTCCAAAATGAAAAATTCCTTAGGGAGGAGGAATTCTGGTTTCTACAGTTCATTTTGGGGAAGAAAGGGAGGCAAGAGACCAGCAGGAGAGAGATTTTGTTCCTGACCTTCCAGGCCCCTTGAGTCCTCTGCATGCCAAGGAGTGACAGAGAGGGTGAGTTTCCATCCACTGGTTCATTTCCCAAATGGTGGCAACAGCCGGGGGCTTCCAGCTCTGTCCCGAGCCCCCATCTGCTTTCTCAGGCTCACTACCTGGAGGCTGGATTGGAAGGAAGTAATTGTGACTCTGAACCAGCAGCTCTCTGGTATTGGACTTGGTATGGCATGTGGCACGTTGATACCAGCAGAACTGGTCCTGATGTGACTCATTTTTAACAAACAACAGAAGTTTGTCCCCTTGGAAGTTGTTACCTTGAAAGATTTTTTTATACTGTGCTAGTCCTATCACAGAAACACTTTTGGTAACTGTTATCCTTGAAAATATTTAGCTTTAAGCTTTTAGCATATTTTAGTAAGTATTCTCAGGGCTGGCAAACTTGTATTCTTTAAGGTTGGAGTTGAATTTTTGAAATACTGCAAAGCCCTTTAGTGCTGAGGTTGGCAGATAAGGAAAGGAATTGGTATAGAAAAAAATTTGATCCCTTAAAATGAGATGTTTTCTAAAGCAGGAATTACTTACCTGAGTGTTAACAGGAGACAGCTGCAGTGGAAGTCCTTTTCCCTTGTAAAGAGGATTTCAGAAGTGAGAAAAGCATTGGTGATAGGCAGGCTAGCCAAGTGTAATGAAGCAATGCACCTGACAGACCTGGTGAGCTCCCCAGCCAGGAACCCTCTTCTGCATTTACCCTGGAAGCTGTGTGGAGATGGGGTGAATCTTTCTCACCACTCTTCTTTTCGGCCTCCACTGGGATATTGCTGAGTTAAGGGCTTTCAAACTGTAAAAACTGTGAAATTCTTCCTGAAGCTTTATTACGTGGTGTTGATTTACCAAATAATCCCCCTGGGCCTGGAAGACTTTCCTGTGGGGTCTCCAGGAACTGGGATCGCCCCAAAACTTTGGAAAGGTTGCTGGACATGGTCAGAACTTTAGAGGTATAAATGCAAGGATTCTTTTAGGAACACTCCTATATTCCCTTTCTCTTTTAGCCACAGGAATATCCCATTCTCTGTAGGGCCCTCTCATACACACCGAGTAATGCCTGACATCCTACCTACCTAACATCAGCTTTAGCAATGGTTTCAAAATTTAAAAATCTGTTATTTTTTGAATCAGAAATTGACTGTAATTGCCACCTATTCTTAAGTCTAGCCTTTTAATTAAGGAAATGTGCTTTTTTTTAAGTCAGCACAAATGCTGTATTTGTGCAATATCCAATTAGGTTACTAGCTAAATTAACTTGATCAATCAAATCAACACAATTTATACTTAAAGATTTTTGTGTATATGGAAAATTGAGTTTCAAATTTTTATGAGTAATGCAATCTATGATAAATGATCACTCTCAGTATCTTGTTATCTTGTTTCATATTGCCCATCTCACCCCAGCTGTCAGTCAGGGAGCTTTTGTCCAGCTGTTTTTTTTTTTTTTTTCCTTCAGTCTGCTTTATTGAGTAACTTTTTTCTATTGCTTCATCTGAACTCCTTTCCAGCTCTTTCCTTTTTTATTTCCTTATAACTGAATATTTCATTTCAATAGCGTGAATGGAAGTTTCTTTTTAGTTATTTTAATAAATTTTGCCTCTTTATATTCCTTGAGTTTCTCAAAGGTCAGTTGAATTTTGTACGTATGTCCTCTCAAGTTTTGCTGGTCACTGGTACAAAGAGAAATGAGAAACTGACAGATAATAAAAAGCAGTATTCAGGCAGAATTAGACTTGTGGAGACTGGTCTCAAATAATATATCCCATCTTCAGAGTAACAGTTATGGTGGAATTCAATTTGCCACTCAAATTCCTGACTTTATATATTTAAGTAGTTAACTCATTTTTTATGTTTTTTACTTCTTGAAAAAGCGCACTGTATGGGACGAGTTTGGTATCTCACCCAAATCTATTTCTCTTGACTTGTTGGAAGAACACATATTTGTTTGATATTTCCCTTCTACCGCATGTTTAATCAGTGCTGAACCTTTTGTACTGTAAGAGTTGAAATCGATGTTCATATCGGTGATGATTTTCTCCTCTCCACCGGCCACCCTCCTGCTCTTACTGTGGAAGTGGTAGTCTTGGCCTAATCCTGGTCAGTGAGAGTTAGAAGGAATTCTTCTAGGCATTTGAACGTACTGTCTTCTCAGTGAGTAGAATATAATCATAGAGAAACAAGTGGGTGTCCAGAAGAAGGAATTGCTTCTCTTAGGTTTTGAGTATTGTTCTATTATGTGAACTTCTAGAACTGCTTGCTTTTGCATTGAAGATAAAGCATACTAATGAATGTGATAGGCTAGAAAGATGGAATGTATGTGAAAACATTTTTTTTTATTAGTCAACTCTGAACCTGTTTCTGGACTAATTAAGATAAATAAGTACTCATTGTGTTGGTCCGCTTTTTATTACTGTACTGGAGTGTCCAAGGCAGCCTAACTCTAAAGAGGTTTATTTTGCCTTACAGTTCTGGAGGTACAAGGTTTGGGAGCCTTGTTGGGCATTTACCTTCTTGCTGGCAAACTCACAGGTGGTCCAGAGCATCACAGGCAGGAGACAGGCAGTTTCTGGGTCTGTGCAGCCACCGGGATACCGACAGGGCATGTGCTCTAATGGCTTAATCCAGCCTAATCAGTTCCGAAAGCCTCTCAGTGTAACACTAGGCTGTGACTTGAATGTCATTTGGTCCCAAAACTCCTGCAGGAGTTTCAAAGCATTATGGTGATGATACTAGGAAAGCAGAAAGTTGTGCTTTTTCCGAGTGGGACCTTTGGGAAATGACCATGGTGGAATGGCTGTTTGGCGCCCCAGCGATAATGTCCTATTGGCTTCCTAAGGACACGGACAGGGAGCAGATACAGGCAGACCTGCACACTCCCTGTGGCCATGGGACTCTGCCAGCGAGAATGCTGTACCAAAGGCTGAAACAATAGGGCCTTTCTAGCTGTGAATCTCCAGGCCTCTGAGCCAAAATGAACCCTTTTCTTTGATAAAGGTAGCTTCATTTGGGTATTATAGTGACGAAAAGCTAACCAATATAAACCATAATCAGATGAATTCCATTCTCTTGGGTACAGGGGAACACACATTCAAACCAGAGCATTGTTAAAGCCCCTTTCATCCTGGTGTGTAATTGCTTATACATTGAAATATATGAAGTCATGCACTTACCTGCTACTTATAAAGATTCTTGAGACATGAATTGGTGAAAGTTTTCTCTTCATTGCATCCACAATCAGAAATATTAGAAATTGATGGTCTTAATCCTAACTGTTGTAACTACCCAGGTTTCTCTTAGAGTATCTCAAGTTCATTAGTTTCTTATTTTCTTTTTTAAAAAGCAGTTTTATTTCAGAAAGGGAGTAGTTTTCTGTCCCCTGGCTCAGCTCCCACATCCTACAATTGTTGGGCTTGCCAAGCTGAAGCCAGGATTTCAGAACTCAACCCAGGTTTCCCACACAGATACCAGGGACCCAGCTGCTTGAGGCATCACAGGCTTCCTTCCTAGGTGTGCATTTGCCCAAAGCTAAATCAGAAGCAGAGTAGGACTTCAAACCCAAATACCCTCAAATGGGATGTAGGCACCTCAAGCTATGACTTAACCACTGTACATAATATCCAGCCCTGTTGTTTTGTTTATCACTAAAACAACAATCTGCAGCTAGGTTGTGATTAGTCATTTATAAATTCAGAGTTACTCAAATAGCAATCCTTTTTTATTACCTTATATCTAGCTTACCATATAACTGATTTTTGCATTCATT